ATTCACGTCGTGCGTTTCCATTATATCATAGTTACGGACTTACGCCACTATCTCGTGTCGCGAATATTAAGCAATTTACTCTTAACCCGAGCACTACACCTCAGTCGTTAATCACGAGACCTTAATTACTTTTATTAGAGCAAAAACGAAGAAGGAAAACATCGTGAGGAAACTTCGCGAGTACGAAAAGCCAAAAAAGGATTGTGAATTTGTGACTTCACTGTGAGTTCTCGTGGTAGGTGAACAGTTACGTGGTTATATTTATTTTATTTATTTATTTCAGGCAACTGTGGCCCATATAAAATATATTACACAAATAAAAATACAAAAACAAATAAAAATAAAAAATACAAAATAAAATTACAAATACCAAAAAATTAAAACATCAATAAACTAATAGATAACAATAACAAAACTCATAATTATAATTATTGCACACGAAAGGACGGCGTCGTGTTTCTCTGACTGGTATCACGTATATTTCACGTACTTATTTCGCCGTTATAGCTTAGGTGTTCGCCTTCCTACATCGCGCTATCTGAACCGTGATCTAACCGTAAGTATTGATAATTTAGGTACCAGGGACTTTTGATAATAGTCCAGCAACTTCTTCAGAAATATCGTAATCGCTATTGAACTACCTCTATAATGATACTGCGCTAGCTATGGTTCTAGCTATAATCATTACCTTTGCATGATTATAAATAGCCAAATAGCTAATCAATGAATATAGCCTTGGTAACCTATTCTTTGCTTCAGACAAATAGTATAGAAAATGTAAAATGTAAATTGTATTGTACAAACAGAATTCAAACAGAAAAATCGAGACAGCAATCGTGTTGTACTTACTATCGCTTCGCATCTAGTGCCCGCTGTGTGCCGTCAAATATAATTTTATTTTCTTTGTGTTGTCCAACCAGACATTCGCTTATTGTTATTATCTATCATATTACACTCTTTGTTTACAAAGGCTTTCCAGTACAAATTGCAGAAGATAACGAATTTTAATACAAATATAACTTGATTTGTTTGTAGCGGGCGAAACAAAGCGGGCGATGTGATGTTTTGTAGACAATGTTGATTACATTGCGTTTTTTATTTTGAATCTGCTTTGCTATCGTTGTGTACATCTAAATAAGTTTAAAGGGCCTCTGAGGCTCGGTGATCTATAATAGTCATTTTGTGCCTAGAAGGTTTTTTATTAAAACACCCTTTTCATAAGTTCAACAAACTTGAGTATAAATTGAAATTTACCCAATTAGTAAGACGTTCTCATAAAGATGAAGACAATTGTCTTCAACTCGAAACTCGAAGATTGTCTTAGCTTCTGTATTGAATTAGAAGTTGTACAGACTTCGGAAGTGTATAGTGTTAATCCAATTAGAGCGGTGACCACTACCGGAGACCGCAACGACAGATCACACAGAATTCATTAATGGAATCGCCACCGAAATCCAACTGTATTTGCATTCGAGCGTGCACTGAGGAACTTAATATTTGATGGGGAAAACTGGATCTAATTTAAATCAGAACTTTTTTTGTAATAAATATTAAATGAATTCTGCAAAGAGCGACTTTGTACAGAGAGATAACTAAGGAACTAAACACCATCGCACAGTGAAATAATGAAAGTTAACAAAAGGACCACCATTTCTTACAAAACTTATTATGCTACCTATAAGTTTCCATTTTTTTTAAATCTGGTTGTCTTAGTCTTATTGAAATACGTTTTGCCAATAGTCCGTATCCAATCAATTTCACTTATATTTTCCAATCAATATTTCTGCAACAAACCTATCCACATTTTCCAGTGAGCCTGCACAGGGTTTATCTAGAACAAGAACCCGGTCGAACGATTATTCGGCCATTTGCGCCAATTGCATAATTGGCACTCTGCATGTTTTAGCCAAGTTACAAGCTTTTTGGACCTAAACTTAGTTGGAACGTTTCAGTTAAGCGAACGTGACTAGTCATTGGTATAATGTATTCCGCTGGCAAAACCAGCTGAATTTTTAAGGAGTTCAAACTAAATTATGCTGATTGATTGCGTTATTCAGTAGGACATGTTTTGTTTTGGAAATGGGATCATAGTATCGTAGAACTTAAACAGCGAGTTATTGTAAACATCATGTTAAAAAAAAATGGGTATTTCCAGACATGAAATAGGCTCAACCCCACCATGTACCAAATGAAACCAAACCATTGATAAGAGCGAAGTATTGTTTATCTACTTCTACCTACCTTTGCAAGAAACACCAGTCATCATGTTCTATCAATGCGTGACACGTGCCACTTAGTAAAATATCATAAGTAGGTAGGTACATAATGAAGTAGGTAAGTACCTAGGCAGTTATTTCTTACTCGCCACGCCAAACCAACCCAACGGTAACCTTAAATTGATATTTATACAGGCTAGATAATTCGGTCAGGGCGCTGATCTGATTAAAAGCCACTCGATCGTGTTGTTTCAGCGTGCCAGGCGCGCACCCTTCGCCGTGAAGACAGTAACCGCTGACCAACCTGTCAACTTTGATTTAGTTCATCGCTAAAATACGCTTCATTGCGCTTTAACGCGCTTGGTCTGCGGTAAATTCTGCAGTGTTAGCAAACTAAGTAGGTAAGTAGATACCTACCTACTGTAACTTCGAACTACTTAGATAGGAATTGATTTTAATATTTTAGATACCTATCAAGAAATCGGTCATCATAGCTATTAATTACCTACGTCATTGATCACCTACTCAGTGATCACTCACTAGACTTCTTTCAAATACACTATCGCACAGAATATAATAGGTACCTACATATTCTCGTATAATTGCAACAACTAATTACTTTTACCGTTCCTTTCAGTAGAACATGAAAACTCCATAAATTCGCGATTAGACCAAACGAGCTCCCATTTAGTTTGATGTCGGCAGCCATTACAAAATTCAGGTAAAGTTCAGCTCTTAAATTGGGAACAATCGTTAGGAATATTGTTTGGACTGTGACCTGACTTCCTCGTGTAACCATTTTACGCTAATGTTCCTTTTCATGGTAACGATTTATCAACTTTTAACTGATGAATTTCAAAGGAATTTCGGAAAACCGGAACTCATCGCTATTAAGAAGAAATCGTCGCATTCCCTAAAACCTGACTCAGCTAAAAATTTACTGAAAAATCTCTTTAATCATCTCCGATTTGGAAATATCGTCAACACTCGAAATTAAATTTTATTTCTCTATCTTCTGTTTAATCAGAGTTCATCAGTACGATCGTAAAAAATGGCGATAAACCGAAGACAAGCATAATGCTACCCTCTGTGTGCGTAGTCAAGGTGGGGCAGAGTGGGGTGCTTACCCTACCCTGGCTCAGACCTGTAAGGTACATACCTACTTAATAAAACTTAACCATGTATTTTTTTTTAAGGGGAGAAAATCGTCGAATGACTGCTCCCGCCTGGGTGAGGCGGAGGGAGTGTCACTCTTACTGACTAAAAACCACCCCGTTCCTTCTCCTGCACGTCGAGCCGGAGCCCCGGTTATCTATTAGGTTCTCCGCGACTCCGAATCGGCATCGGCCCTATTGGGCCCCATCTGTGGTAGTCTGATGGCTCTTTGAGGCGCGCGCGGAACGCGACGCGCCGTACGCTCGGGTCTGTTTCTGGTCGGACGGGGAGCCACCCATGCTCGCCGTCCGCAGGCCCGCGCTTACGGTAGCCGGAGATCGTCCCGCGATCCCCGACGCCCGGTGTGTCCTTCGCGATGGCTGGGTTGCGAGGAGGCAGCGCTTCGCTGCCTCACGCGTCCCGCCTCCTCCTTAGCTAGCATGACTGCTTCGCAAAAGGAGGAGACGGCATCCCAATCCCCCTCGCTTCGCATCATGGCCTGACCATGTATTTGGATACTAACTACAGTACCTCCTCAGTATTTGTAATGTTTATATGAAAGAATTAACTAAGGTAAGACCGCAGACATAGTTTGTTTCCATATTATAATTTAGGTACTAGCTTTTACCCACGGCTTCGCTCGCGTCATAAAAGGAAAAGTAGCCCATGTGACATGTACAATACACACAACGCCATCTATACCAATACTTTTGTTTTCCCTCGGGAATATCAAATTTTACCGGAATAAAAAGTACCCTATTATTTAATCCGGACTTTTAACTTAACATCTGCAAAATTTCAAAGCAATCGGTTTAGTAGTTACGGCGTGAAAGTGGAACAAACAAACAAACTCACTTTCTGATTTGTAATATTAGTAAGGATTTTAGACTGTTGCCCCACCCTGAACCAAGGGCTGGCTACGTTGTTACGGCTGTACCATGTCATTTGGTAAACGTCGGCCACAATAATACTTCGAAAACAGAGTTTCCCAACGATATTTTACTCTACAAGAAGTTACCCACCATTCAATGCTTATCTCAGTGCATAATAACTCGGAATGGAGTAGTTACAATGTACAAACCTAAGTAAAAATATTTGTAACGGCACCTAGAATTTTGCGGTAAAGGCACGTTCGCTCAGTAACACGTAGCTGCCTGGCGCGCGGTGCAGCAGCCATCTTGTTAACCTAAACGTTAACGTCCATATTTCACTAAAGAAATTCATGCAAGAGAAAACTGCAAATGTGAAATAATATGATTACGCTCAAATATTCGCTCGGCGTCTTCAGCAAATAGGTTTTTTTACGAGCATGTGCCACGATTTCACGTTTTGCATCCGAGTTGAAAGTTGATTCAATTTCGTTGGAAACTGCAGATTTCTGAGATAAAATTGTAATGCATAGGTGACCTGATTGCGTATCCTGTCAGTTTAGTAATAAGGTATTAGGTATTAAAATAAGGATTTAAAATGTTTCCCAATTAGTTTTAAAACTTTTTAGCCCTACGCGCATCAACGACGCTTTTCGAAACACATTTGTAGCTTAAAGTAATTAGGCAGTTTCTTGATTATTAGTTGTTTCTAATTCAAATTAACGAATGTGTTACAAAGGAGTAGTAACAAAAACAAGAAAATGATCAAATAATATTTATTTTCTCCATCCTTAGATCCAACAAATTCATTATAATAAGTCCTGTGGCCTTACGTCACAGGTAAAGCGCGTTTACTTACTCGCAACTTTTGCACCAACAAATTGATGACACAACTCATAAAATATAAGTCGACAATTTATTGGTACAAATACAAATAAAAAAATCTCCTTGTAAACTTATACACACATAATTAGAATAGAGAATTCATCAAACATTGTAGATTTTGCATCTGATAAAAATTTTGCATCATTTCATAATAATATTTATTTATTTATCTAGTTAAACTTTTGTTTTGTCATTTGGTTAACAAATATTGTACAAAGAAGTTAATGAATTATACTATTAACTTTAGATATAACAGCTTCGGAAGTAGGCATGAGATGGTACGAGGAAGACAACTTTGTTTACCAGGAAATGTACCATGGATGACAAATGAACAGCTTCGAAGAGACAAATGTATCTGCATTTTGTCATCAATCTTTTATTTTTTGTCTGTTACATGCCTTAGAAAGTTAATGAAAGTGTATTAGGTACAATTATAGAGCTCACAAACTGTCTACCGTATTAAAATCCTGTCACCATCCAACCATTTCAATATTAAAATATGCCACATAAAATTCATATATAAATAGTGTAAAAATTCATTAATACATCATTAAATTCACCCAGAATATATTTATTATGATTGCCTCGTGTACTGTTCATCAAGCCTTTATAAAGTGGTACTTATAACTAGAATATTGCATTATTTGGTTATTTAGAACTGCGTGTACTTGAGATAATATTGCTATAACTATCTTATTGGCCATTGGCCTAAAAATTGGTGTTGGAGTTTGTACCCGGTTGGCCAATATTTGACTATGAAATATCTACAGAAAAACAGACACAATGTGTAAGCTGTCAACATAAGTACTATTAATATACTAGAACCGTTACTACTCTATATTCATGCTAAACGAGAGAACACGTCAGTCCAAGAACTGAAATTATAATCTCGGTCGTTGTTTAATAAATATTAAATTCATTAAGACGGTACATCCCCAGACAGTCGTGTAACTACAGTAAATAAATTCACGTGACGTTCTGGGCACAAATCATAAATATATTTGACATTGTTATCATGTGTCCTTTAAAACATTGAACTATTTTGAGCACAACATACAGCACCCTGTCATTACAATTTGTATTAAAAATTAAATCTATAAAATGGCTTATTTAACACAAACGACCGACTATTGTTAACATACAATTTGACTAAGGAATCTTCTATTCATTACTAACAATAACTTGGTACAAAAATGTATAAAACTGTTGCATTTCTAAATTGGACTGAATGCACATACATTTAAATGCAATAATTAAACGAGGCAAGTAATATTATTGAGATATCTTCATGTAACTTACATTATAAAATTAAATAATATAATTAATACTTACTCAATGAATCAGTAACTCCTTTCTACGTCAATCAATAGAAAACTCCTTGGTCTTTCAAGCATGTAAGCTTGCCCAGCTTTGGGCACAGTGCCCATTATCCAAGCTTATGTCACTAAAACAATCTCCTAATATTATTTAAATATTTATTTATGTTATTAACACTCCGGCAGTGCACACTTCAATTCATTCTAAAACTTTAAAAGGACATAATTTATATTGTTTCTATTATTTTCTATAGATTTGAGTAGACATAAAATGTATTGTCTATATAATAAGAATATGTAATTGAACAACAGTGTCGACTTTTTTCCGCGTAAGCAACTTGTCTATGTACTTTACTATTGCATTGTAGCAGAGTTTAAATATTTTGTTAACAAGTAAACGATTATATAAATATACAGTTGCAAAATTGCATGTGAACACTAATTAATTTATTGAATCCTTGGAAACACAGGGAAGACAACAAATTAATTGAGGTAACAATATTAAAAGTTTAGCTAGGAAGAATTAACAGTCTAGAATTTGCATCTTGAACTTGTATTGTTTGCAACAATACAATCGTTGACTAATCGCGTCTTCATATAAAATTTCTAAGAACATTATAAAACTGTATTTCAATCAAAACGGGGCATTATAATAAGTCTGTTATTATTTTTATTTCTTATGAATATACTTGCGATATAAAACAACAGTATGTTCCAAATCCACAACGTGTACGGTACAAACTTTCGCGAAGCAAACTGCTTTAAACTTTAAGCATAACTTTGTTTATAAATATTTTGTAGTTTCAATGTGTACTGATGGAAATGACCAAATATTATCCTATGGAGAAAATTATTCACAAGACTTGGGACATATTATGTATAACTGTATATGATGTCCTCAGGAAAAAGAATATGTAAGACAAGTGTAGAAAGTAATAATTAAAAGTTCTGACAGCAGAATGAAGACTGTTTTACATGAAATTGACAAACAAATATACAAGCTGTGCTGTGGGAAGAGAAGTCAATAAATATTTTGTAAAATGTAAGTCAAGAAAACTTTTTTTCTATATTTACCCGTAATTCTAACAATAATAATCTCTCAGTACAAATTGAAACTTGCCCTGTGTATGGTCAGACTATCATATGCTTAAAATGGTCTATAGTTGGCTGGGTACTTGATAGGTATGGCGCCTTGCGCGGCCTTGGCATAGAAGTCCCACCCGAGTTGTTGGTATGCCTCTATGAGCCTCTCCTCCACTTCCTTGGAAGGACGTTCCTCTTGTATCTTCGTGAGCAACTTGATGGCTCGGCCCCATTGCTTGAATGTAAAGCAGTGCCATACGCCGTAGTGAATCGCCTGGAGACAAGAATTTATAGAACAAGCTTATTATTTTTCCAAATTGTAAGTTTTGGACTCGTTAATAAATATCTGTTTATAAATGTCTGTCTGTCTAGGATTTCCAGTTTTAGGGGATTGTAAACAGTGCGGCCAGATATGTTCCATTAATCGCCACTTAAACTTTAATATGTTGGACGTTGCGACAAATGAGTTTTATTTTTATTTATGATCCGATAATTGCTATTATTATGTGAAATATAGTTAGGATCAGTCCAAAACTAAACCTCTACTACTGACTGACTCGGCAAACGTCGTAACGTCTAAGTTGTTTTTCTCACTTGTAACATTGTCTGAACTGACTTCCATGAACATTTCAAGAGCATAATAAAATTAGCCTCGTCGGTTAAGCCGTTGTCGAGTTGGAGCGAGTACCTTGGCGTCCGTGAGGTCGGTGTACTTGAGCAGGTCCTGCATGTTGTCCCGCAGCGCGTCCCCGGCGGCCGCCCCGCGCGACAACGCGCGCAGCCGACACAGCGCCGTGCCGCGCCGGGACAGCGCCTCCACCAGGTAGCCGCGCTGCTTCTCTTGCTCCCTGCAGGGATCTTACGTTACTACCATACTCCATATTCAGTCCTTGCGTAGGGGGAGGCACCACCAGCCACCGGGCTGGACGACCAACTGCCGTGCTACGTGTAGCGAGTTCGATTCCCGCATGAACCAACTCTTTGTGTCGACCACAAATTGTTGTTCCGGGTCTGGGTGTCATGTATAAGTAAAGTGGTATGTTTGTAAATACACCCACGACACAGGAGCAAACCCTGTCGTGGACCCAACGTTAAAAAAAAAAGGAAATGATCAGTTATTGTGCTACACATAGTGTTAAAAATTACGTCGTTCTTCGTACCGGTGATTAGCGAAAAACTTGCAAGGACAGCGAGAAAACGACAAAATGCTGTATAGGAGACCAAAATGACAATGACCAAATTTGTATGGAGCGTGGTGCCTTTTCATTTTTTCGCGGCAGCTGATCGGATGTGGAAAAACTGATGCAGAATAACATTACAAACAAAAAAATATATGGGGTCTTATATCAAAAACACAGTCCAAATCGAGTTAAATCATTTCAAAGATGTGAAAATAGTGCTATATTATCCCTGTGATTTTGTTGATGGTGACCGTACACAACGCATATTTCTTCATTTACTTGTCAGAAATATTTTGTAATAAATGTGGTTTATAAACGGTTTATAAACGATTTCAAGGAATATAATAAAGCTAATCATGTACTTTTTACTTATTCTTTTGTTTTTTTTTTGTTATAAGGCCACTGAAACAGAACAGAGTGAACCATTACCTGACCACTGCTGAAGAAAAAGAAACATTTCGCTTGATTGGCTAGCGTGTTCAATTTATATGTATACGGTTTATGGCCTATGACAGGTTTTCATGATCAATTTCCTCTCAGTCAAAAACCCGCAAAATACTTTACTGAGCCCTATCATGAAATGCTATGTTTGTCAGCTGCAGCGTCGGTAGCGGATTGAATAGCGCTGATCACTTTAAAAGTCGACGGTTTTCTTTTTTTTTCAAAAGATTATGCTAACTATTAATTAGATAAGCGTCCCACCAGGTATTAATGGCAAAAAAAATATACTTTATTAGATGTTTGGACGGCTACCACTACTCAACCCACCACTGGTACTACAGCTGACGCTCATGAAGCTTCATGACACAACTCCTAGAAGCATCTCACAAGATATCGACTGAGAGAAAATAGGTACTAAAAATTAGAGCCTGGCAAAATGAATATATTGTGGTGTGATATGGTTTTCCTGTGCCCGGAGTACAGTGGCGCGCAATTTGAAGTTAGAAATTGTGTCAAAACTATGAATAATTTGAATAAAAAACCGAAGTAAAATGTTCGACTCCAGCTCCTTTCAACGCTCATAACTCAGTCCAGACTAAGATTTCCATATATAAGCCCATAGACAATTTCGTTTGTAATGTCATTCTAGATAATATTTTCCATAAATCATCGACTGCCGCCAGAAAAAAGAAAGGCACCAATTTTAATCAATGCCCTTTATATTGGTCCACTGAGCCAACATTCAACAGGGCAAATAACTGCTTTGACTATCAAAAATGCATTTCTTTTTTAATTATGAATTTGACTTTGAGCTCCAGACACTATATTCCATACAGGCCAACAAAATATAAAAGGAAGATATAACAGATTTGAACTACTACTTACTGCTTAATCTTACTGGCGTCACTCCTAGTATCGTTCTTCATGCCGAGGTAGGCTAGCAACTTGTCCTGGTCAATAGCCTTTATAACCTGGGAATAAAGCATAGAATCGATGGTATTATTGTTGTTTTAGCACTATTGGTATTGATTTGTTTATTAGTAGTTAATTTACCTTTTCAGAAATAGTAATCATCTGTTCGCACCACGCTGTCGTAACATCAGGGTCTTCATTCGCATGAGGTAGTCTTTAATTAAAAACATAATAAAATAAGAATCGCTATTGTTAATACATTTACACAATCAACTTATAGGTGTCAATATTTTGAAATAGCAAAATAATTAAGTTAAAATTACATTTACAGAAATTAATATACTGGGGTCTGCTTCACACAGGTTCAAGTTCAGCAAAATCATAAGATTGATTTCCGAAATTTTTAAGTTAATTAATATGTAATAGTTAATTAGATTATTTTTAAGTTATGTACTTACTTCTTGGTATCAGTAGGTGAGTCGAGTGCATTTAGATATGAGATGTGCGCCCCTAAGTAGCCTGGGAACTTCTCTACTAACTCTTCATAAACATGTTCTAACTTGTCGCCTTCTGTCAACAAAAGTCAGATGTAAAATGTTTAAAAGCATTTGTTTGTATTTAAAGCTTTTATCCTGTGCTTTTAATGTATATTTTATTGTTTTGTTATCACTCAGGACTAACCACTAATAGACGGAGAAAGAGTTTGGGATTGTAATGTTGCAGATTACGAAAACGACAAATTACTTTAACATTTAAATGACAATGCCAGATCCTGACCCAGTCATAATATCATTTACAAAAAAAGTAAATTGATGAAAATAATTTTGACGAATAAGGAACCTTTTCACAATATCACTTTTTATTTTTAAACTTGCGGTTTGCAATCTAATAAAAAAAGAAGTTCATTCCCGGAAATACTTTTTTGCAATGCGTCTTCCATATTGTCTAATGACTATTTGCGTTACATCATACGCATCGCTTGTACGAAACTATGAAAATAAAAAAGTATGTAACTGTAAAAAAGATATCATTATACATAAAATATTATATCAAAAGTATAATTATGTATAACGTTTATTTATTTATTAATAATTACAGATGAAAACACGAAAATATAAAGGAAACGATTACTATCATTAGTTATGATTTTTTTGTGTAACGAAACGTTTTGAAGCGTTTGTCAGTTGTCAGCTGTCAGTGTCAATATTATGTTTCATTCGCTCTCTGCGTTTCCGTTATTTTCGCGTTATTTATCATTATTGTTTTGTATTTTAAACAAAAACCGCAAGTTTTACAGGTTTCAGGACAAATGTTTAGGTATCGGTAATTAATACACTACACGATGCTGAATACTACATATTTGTACATGACTTCTAATATAGTGGGTCAAAGATGTACTGAGCACCTGGCATTGTCCTTTGTTTTTAATTTGTTTTATAGCGAAAAATTGACTACGTGTCTTAAATGAGCAGAATGAAAAAAAATTAATTTTTAAATCTTGGGATATAGATCGGTTCAAAGATTTGGGATTAACATAAATTTTGGTTGTCATTAGGGATGAAATGTGGTATGAGTAAATTGTTGTAGTCACCTAGCTTGGCGAGCCAGCCGGTGGTGAAGTCCTTGTAGGCGTCCATGTAGTCGTCGTGCTTGGGCTTGTCCTTGTCGCGCGCGGCGGGCGCGCGGCGCGGCGCGTCGGCCGGCACGAACTGCAGCGGGTAGCTGGCCACGCGCCGCGCGCCCTCCTCGCGCGCGAACGACACGCTGCCCGCCAGCGACGCGCCCACCGACAGCCACGACCGACTCAGTCTGCGACACCACCCACACGGACCATTCACCACAACCGTACAAAGCTACTTCAGTACAAGCAATGAATATCGCACGTCCATTTCTGAAGGCTACAATTAACCAACCAATCACAGCGCCGGACGCGGTCTCGTTTCAATCTCATTAAACGTAAAAAAAACTGGTACTAAACCCTTCAGAAAAACATAAATTGTATTATATTATAATAATTTATTTATACTAATCTTTTCCAATCCTTACTAATATTATAAAACGGAAAGTGAGTTTGTTTGTTTGTTTATTCCACTTTCACGCCGTAACTATTAAACCGATTGCTTTGAATTTTTGCAGATGTAAAATTAGAAGTCTGGATTAAATAATAGGGTACTTTTTATCCCGGAAAAATTTGATATTCTCGAGGGAAAACGAAATTATTGGTATAGATGACGCTGTATGTATTGGTATATGTCATATAGGCTACTTCGTATCCTTTTGTGACGCGAGCGAAGCCGCGGGTAAAAACTAGTCATTCATAATTCAAAGAGAATGCTTTACTAGTTTTACTTTTAGCGATTCATAATCATAAGATTGTCTCTTTCCAAAGGTCGATGTGAAATATTTATTGCTAGGTATTGTAATACAAATGGAATAATTTTATTGTTAGAAATTGATATTGATTAAATACTCACTTATCTGCAGGTACAGTTGTGAAATAAAGAGGTAATAGGTTCCCACTTGCTAATGATCCTGAGTTGTATTTCTTGCCACCTGTCAATGCCTGCAATCAAAAATATTTAGAAGTTAAAATATATTATTACCTACTACTTAACAGGTCAATTCAGAAACACATCCATATAACACACAAGTATTGGGACACTTTTTTTTCTTGCTGCAAATTAATGTATTATACCATAGCAAAGACCCCATTTTTGAAAAGACCATCAACCTCAAACTTTTTTGATTCAGCATTCTTGGCAATTAGTATTATCACGTGTAATTTCAGTAAGGTGTGCGTGTAGAACGAATGCTTTTCTTTATTTTTGTAAGTAGGACATGTTTAGTGTGGGAGAGCTATACTTCAGCACGAATGAGCCGGTTCGACCGGAGTGATACCACGGCCGAGCCGAAAGCCGACGTGAATCAACGCTCGCGTTGGGTTTCGTCATGGGAGTGAGGTTTCCGTAGACCCACCCCACTCCCCTTCTTCAATCCCTTATTCCCCAGCGATCTTCAAACTCCTTATCCCCAAAAGGCCAGTAACGCACTTGTAACGCCTTTGGTGTTCCAGGTGTCCATGGGCGACGCCGATTGCTTACCACCAGGTGATCCGTCTGCTTGTACCGTAACAGAAGTAAGGTATGAGTAGAGTGGCACCAGTGGCTGGCTGCAGTAGACGTCGAGCGCGATGGGCGCGGGCAGGCGCTGCTGTATGGTGGCGGGCAGGTCCTGCAGGCGGTCCAGCAGCGCGCGGCTGTCGTGCCGGACGTTCAGGCGCAGCGTGTACTCGCCCTTCTCCAGCTTCACGGAGTACTGCCGACATACACATACCCTGATTTACTAATCGGTCTATTGTGTTTTTAAGAATACATAATGATACAAAAACCTTATTGAAGATACGTATTTCACAGTAAAATAAAATTTTTTGTCCAACTACCTTTAATCCTAAAACTACAAGTATAAAAATATTGAAATTTCATGCTACAGTTGAAATGTTTAGTTTTATCTATACAAATAAATAAAATTGGAGTGTCTGTTTGTAATATTAAAATAACTTCTTCCTACTACATACATATGAATGTATATACGGTACACATACTAAAATATATTTTTTTACAATTTTTGTCTGTCTGTCTGTCTGTTTGTTCCGGCTAATCTCTGGAACGCCTGGACCGATTTTGACGGGACTTCCACTGGCAGATAGCTTATGTAATAAGGAGTAACTTAGGCTACTTTTATTTTAGAAAAATATCTTTTATTTTAGAAAAATAAAGTTATGTTGAAATGTTCAAGTACTGTCCAGTTCCGCGCGCAGCTCACGCGCATGCCACCACTGTGTCGTCGCATCGGACGCCTCCCACCAACGAATCATTATCACAAAGGCTGCCTGTCGCGCGGGCTCCCCACCACTTCTCCCACCAACGAAACATTATCACAAAGGCTGCCTATCGCGCGGGCTCAGAACGCGCGAGCGGGCTATTGCTGAAGGTTGTGTCTCGACGACTTCATTTAGAAATTAATGGTTTCCGGTGCTTTTATCATACTTTTGATTGATAGTTTGATTTGATTGATAAGTAACTTTGATAATTCCACTGATCCGTTCTTCTAATCTCATCTTAATTCATTCAAAATATTTTGTTACATTTTTACTGCTTTTCTTTTTTTACATTTATAGGTTATTTTATTTAGTTGGTAACTTAGATAGTTGTTCTTTTTTTTAATTAATATTTTTTTTATATTTATAGGTTATTTTATTTAGTTAGTAACGTAGATAGTTGTTTTTTTTAATTAATATTTTTAAGTTGGATCCATTAGTTATGCCCTAGAAGGCGATAATCATTGGTTCGACACTTTAACAGATGCCAGTATAAGCAGCAACGCATCTAAATTACGAGAACTATTCGCCATTATTTTAGTTTTCTGCAATATCTCTAATCCCACAGAGTTATGGGACAAGTTCAAGGATCATTTTACAGATGATTATGTAAGAGATTTCCAACGGCATTACCCGAATGCAGACATAAATTCTCATTTAGACGTATTTACAAATAGAGCTTTGTTTGCATTACAAGACATTCTTCTTTCGATAGGCGGCAATTCTCTCCCTCATTATGGTTTACCATCTCCACAAGCGACTGATGGAATTGATGAAAATTTAAACAAAGAATATATTGAACATACAAATTTTGACCCAGTTGAACTTCAAAATACTATAAATCATAATGAACCACGACTAAACGATGAACAAAATCAAATTTACCGACTCCTCATTGATAAAATAAATGCAAATGCTGGTGGAGTGTATTTTTTAGACGCTCCAGGTGGTACCGGCAAAACATTTTTGATTAATCTTTTGCTAGCCAAAATACGTGCAGAAAAGAAGATTGCCATAGCAGTCGCATCGTCCGGCATAGCGGCAACCTTACTTCCTGGCGGAAAAACGGCACATTCTATGTTTAAAATCCCACTAGATTTAGACCGTACGGAAAATCCAGTCTGCAATATACCCAAAAATAGTCTCAAAGCCAAAGTACTACAAAATTGTGTATTTGTAGTATGGGACGAATGCACTATGGCAAACAAAATTTCTATAGAAGCCGTGAATAGGACGATGCAGGATATTAGAAGTAATAATCTATTATTTGGAGGAGTCGTATTCTTATTCGCTGGAGATTTTAGACAAATATTACCGGTTATAAGTAAGGGTACGCGAGCCGATGAAATTAACGCCTGTTTAAAACGTTCAGTACTTTGGAGACAGTGTAAAAAACTTAATTTAAAACAAAATATGAGAGCACATTCAGCTGATTCAGAATTTAGTACAATTCTTCTTGATGTTGGAGAGGGAAAGTGTCCAGAAGTGAATAGTAATCATGATATAGAACTACCTACCAGTCTTTGTCAGGTTGTGGCGGACACTGAAACTTTAATATATAGTATTTATGATGATATTCACAATCTCAATATCAAAGAAGATTCGTGGTTGTGTGACAGATCAATTTTAGCGCCTACGAACGACCAGGTTACTGCGCTTAATCAGTGCATTTTAGATAAGCTAACAGGTGAATCACAAACATATCTTTCCATCAATACAGTTTGCAATCCGGATGAAGTGGTTAATTACCCAACAGAATTTTTAAACAGTATAATTGTGCCTGGTCTACCCTCCCACAAACTAGAACTTAAAGTTGGCGTGCCCATCATGCTATTGCGTAATTTAAATCCGCCGAAACTTTGCAATGGTACTAGGTTGCGAGTAGTGTCGTTGCAAAGAAACGTTATAGAAGGTCGTATAATATCCGGATGCGGCAGAGGTGAAATAGTATTTATACCACGGATTCCTATAATACCATCAAATTTGCCATTTGAATTCAAAAGATTGCAATTCCCGATCAATGTCAGTTTTGCTATGACAATCAACAAGTCCCAAGGACAAACGTTAAGTAAAGCTGGTATAGATTTAACAAAAGGTTGCTTTACCCATGGGCAACTATACGTGGCATGTTCACGTGCGAGGAATGCCAGTAGCGTTGTTGTTTTAGCCCAAGAAAATCGTACACCAAATATTGTATATAAAAAATTTTTTAATAAAGCTAATACAAAAATCTGAAAATAAATGATAACTAAAATAAAAAATTAAAAATAAACGAATTAATTTTTTTGTTAAATTCCACGCGGACGAAGTCGCGGGCACAGCTAGTAATAAATATTATTCTCACCTTAGAAGGATAAGCATCGCCAGTAGCCATGAGTTGTTTACAACTATTGTACAACATCCACATTTGGGATTCGAACTCCGACTCATACAACATGTCGCACAATAATGATATTATTGGTGACACCTGGAATGGAACAAGTTACACAATCATTAAAATTCACATTTAATACACATATATTTTTGAGAATGTTCAAGTACCTAATAAACAATTTTGAATAAAAAATCGTTAATGTATTTCTTATAAAAATAATGATTTGTCTTACCTCTGTGGCCTTAGCAATGTGGAAATTATAAGTATTGACTAGTTGATATATCTGTCGACTGGGCGGAATTACATCACGAGCTGTTAACGGGGTGATTTTCGATTCTGACGGCCTGCAATCAATATGTTTAAGTTACATAAGTAAACATTTTACAGTAATAATCAAACTGAAGTATGCAGCATAATAAAGATCTATAGGATCTTTAATGGAGTTGGATAGTACATTTGATACATGCAGTAGGTGAGTAAAACTATGGCTGAACAGTGGCCAAGGTTTATAAAAAGAAATCAATGCCATCCGAACGTGCATTAGGTTGTGGGCATTTAATTATTTAATCCGAATATTCATAATTATATAATATGTGCTAAACAATATACATAAATGAAAATAGTATAAATTTATATTAAAACTTTCGTGAGACATACTGATTAATTATTATGTTATTGGTTTACTCTTGTAATTATTTAACAAGGACCTCGACTAGTTTAGTGAAGGGAGTAACCGACACCATCAGACACCAGTGCCATTAGCCAAACGCCACTTCAGCACTTGTCTACAGAGAGAGCAGAAAACTAAATGTATGGGGATGACACTGACAAGTGTCAAAATTTACGTCAATCTCATATATTAATTTAGTTTTCTATTCTACAAGTAGACAAGCGCTAAATGGCATTTGGCTACAGCTGCCGAGTATACATGGTACTGTGCGACTGTGGCTCGAGTGACATCGGGGACACTCGTCGCAACATCACGACGAGGCTCGAGCAAACCGCCTGGAAGCCGAGTTTGATATCTGAGTCAGACTAGAGTTGCGGGTCTGCAGTGTGACACAGTGAGCGCGGTATGTAACATTGGTTTGGCGTCGGCCCGGGATTCGAATTGAACATCTCCGCGGCCCCCGGCCAGCGAGTGTAGCGGGCCAGCGGTGTCGCGGCGCCGCGGGGGGGGGGCGGGGGCACGGCTCGCGCTCAGCGCACTGCAGCAGACGGTAGCAACGACAGTGGCCGCGGCGCGGCCCAAGGAATGTTGCTCATGAATATGAGCCTCTAGCATGGCTTAAAACTAGTCGAATTGCTCGTCAAACAATTACGTAAGTAAACCGATAACATAATAATAAATTAATTAATTTATTCATTTCACGAAAAATAGTGAAATAAATAACAATAACAACACAGTGTACCTGACGGCCGGCTCCAAATACTTGAGCTGCGCGCTGGGCTGGACGTCCTGCAGCCGCAGCGCCCGCAGCGTGACGGCGCGGAGTCCGTCGGCGGCGCTGATGACGAGCTTGTTGCCGAAGTCTGGCTGCAGCCCGTGGAACTCCACGCTGTACGACACCACCAGGTCACCGATGTTGGCCCAGTACTTCGCTATTACTACTTCTAGTGTTACGCCGCCCTGGGAAATACAAAATGTTATTTTTTGTAACATTCACTGCCTTATAACATGAATGACTTGTTTCAAGATCCTCGATCGCGGTATGTAATACTGTTTTAGCGTCGACCCGGGATTCGAACCCAACACCAACGCAGCGACGGGCGGGCGAGTGCGCCGCCGATGGCACGGAGCACGCGGCGCGCGGACACTGCGCGACACTCGCCGCGGGACACGGCGAGTGGCTGCTCATGGATATAAGCCTCTACTATGGCTTCAAACTAGCAGAGTTTCTCTTTATATAATTACGTGAGTAAGCCGAAAACATAATAACTAAAACAAACAATAAAACACTTACAACAACTTGGAAGGGTAACACTGTGGGTGCTTCTGCAGTAACATTGATCATCTTCTGTGTCTCGTGACACCTGCAACTCTTCTTAGGCAGTAACTGCATTGTGTGTATTAAAAATCTACCAGTCTTTTCTTTATCTTCTGTTGAGATCTTTAGGACGCCCCACGTCGCTTCAGGTGGGACTGAAAGAGAATTTAGAGTTGTTAGAATATTGAACAAACAAATTGCTTCACTAGAGGATTTAACATTTCAGATAGTTTTTTTTTGCGCTGAGTAGATGGCACCACTAGCGATTAAAGTACTGGTTTCGATGCTGGTTAATATTTTTTGCTGTAATAAACTGAATGTACCTATCTATAGGAACTACTTAAAACAATTTAGACATAAATTTCAGAGTTTATTAGTTTAGACGCGATAGAAGATTTTTACGAAGATCTTCTCCACAATTACCAATTCGCCTACGCCCATGGGAGACAGGTGTGAAGTTATGTATGTATGTTCTCCACAATTAGGGGACGTAAGACATTAATTTAAGTAAATCAAGTGATTATAAAACAGTTTATACGATTCCTTACCTATAACGAAGTGCCGGACGATGGTGGCCGGTTGGAACAGTACGTCCCTGGCCGCGAGCGCGGGCGGCGCGGCGCTGGCCAGCGACAGCGGCTCGGGCTGGAACACCGACACCGGCACGCGGAACACCGCGCCCTTCGACACCGCCGACACGTCGTACGCCACGATACTGGACCGACAGACCACAGTATCATGACCAGTGTCGCCGCATTATATCAGATTTAAGGTTATTGGAATTCAACCTACTTGCAGTTACTTGTCTCCTAAAAACTTTCGATAGACCATTTGGGACTTACAACAGAGCCACTTTGCAGATGTTACCATGTTGTCTACATAGTATAACTTAATGGCATAAGCTATAATTTTATACTTGTAAATTTTCTGAATAAATAAATAGTTGGATGATGTGGACGTAGCAATATTTGCTTGTCATACCCCAAAAAACTATTCTAATGTTGCTTAGAGACCGACTCGATGCTGAAGACAATTTTTTTCCAGTTTATGACTTTGGTCAGATTTTAATGTACATAATTAATGTCGGAATACTCAAACGCTACTCAATTTTAAGTCGTGCTTAAGTATAGTTCTGTCTCCACAAATTCTTTGTAAAATGACAGAGATGGCACGATATTTAAGCACGACTTAAAATTGAGTAATGTTTCAGTATTCCGGCATAAATCTTATTTCTTTTTTGAAATAACATGACTTGGCCGATTATTATAAGATAGCTAAAAGGCATAGTCCTTCAACACAGCTTTCTAGCAAAATTTTACCAACAACTACATCTTACCTAGTAAAATGTGGTCCAGGTTTAAGTCCAGTAGTATCGACGCGTACAGTCCAAGGCCTGGCCGCGTTCATCATGTCCAAGTACTGCGGACACGACAGCCAGGCCGCGTCGCACGACAGAGCCAGTCTCATACCGAACGCTATCTGCTTCGGAATTACTGACTTGTCTGTAACACACACACTACACATAGCTTTCTTTGTATCTGCTTTTGGAATCCAGAGGATTCGTATGACTGGTATAGAAATAACGCGTAGAACCTTCTTACCATTTTATAGTACCTAGGCTTGGAACAAAGTTAAAACATTAACTTAATTACGCTAAAATGGCGGATAACAAATCCACGGTTGTCTTTTATGAGTCCAGTATTGTATTAAATAATTACATTGCAAGAAGTTTGCCATAACATTTTCGTATTGCAACAAAATATTATTAACCGCCTCAATTTTCTCGACATTATACATTTTCCAAGTCTGTACAGAGTCAATAGATCTACATAAAATAAACATCACAAACGTACCGTCACAAATACATTCCTTAAGAAAATCCTTGAGCAAAGGTATTTTCGGGCCTACGAATTGAAAATACGGGTCAAGACAACAACAAATCTGCGTCTAGGTAAGGTAAAGTGGACTTTACTGTTATGGATATAAAGTTTGAAGTGTATACTCACTCTCCATGTCGTTATGGTCCTGTAGGAAGTGTGGTTCGACAGTGATGCCGATGTCCTTGGGTACGTCGTCGACCCGCGGCCTCAGTAGGATTCCCTTGGCATTGCTGGGTCCGCACTGGATACTGAATGTCACGTCACGTTCTGGAGCGCTTGAGTACTCGCCCAGCAGGTCGAAGGCCTGTATAAAACATTTTACTGTACTTCACATGGTCGAAAGCTGTAGTAATTCACATAAAAAATTCCTATGTAACTGTTACTTACTATACAATCTTAGACTAATGTTACTTATGTTTATATCAACTTGATTCATGTTAACAACATTCAGAAATAAGTAAACAGAGTGTTTATACATATAGTAGAGTCTACAAAAAGTTATTAATATTTTAAAACCGAGCAGATTAACAACGCTCTACGATGCCCAGTAATATTCTAAACTTTAAAACTACTAACTTAAAGTACATTTCACCTTCTCAACATTAAGTAGCCCACAGCCCTGTGCCCAGGGCTCGACGTGTGACAAGTAAGTAGCAGAGTTCTCTAACGCACGCTTGATGGAGTACGGAGAGTATGCGAGGTTCTTTGCCTTCAGTCCTGAGACGAGCATAGCTGGGGGATACAGAAATTATTAAATTGTATTTTTATTTAATAACACAATCGTGTAACAAAGTAGATGACGTCTTTGTGTTTGAGGCGTGTGCATTTCATGAGTAAGGGCTCTGGCTCTGCCCGAAAGAAGTCGAGCATACCCGTAACATGTTGATTCAAGAAATAACTCTTAATAAATGAATGTATGAGTTTTTACGGGTATTTGAATTACTTACCGACTGCACCCGCAACGTGTGGTGCTGCCATCGATGTTCCGTTCATTAACTGACAATTTCTTAGAGTGAACCTGTAACAAATGTTAAGAATAATAAAGTTTTTGCTATGACAGTCTCGGTGTGAGTGTAGTCTGTAATGTACGAGTACCTGGCGACGGCGGCGACGGCCCGCGCGGCACCAGCCGGCCGCGCCGCGAGTGTAGTCTGTAATGTACGAGTACCTGGCGACGGCGGCGACGGCCCGCGCGGCACCAGCCGGCCGCGACGCGAGTGTAGTCTGTAATGTACGAGTACCTGGCGACGGCGGCGACGGCCCGCGCGGCACCAGCCGGCCGCGACGCGAGTGTAGTCTGTAATGTACGAGTACCTGGCGACGGCGGCGACGGCCCGCGCGGCACCAGCCGGCCGCGACGCGAGTGTAGTCTGTAATGTACGAGTACCTGGCGACGGCGGCGACGGCCCGCGCGGCACCAGCCGGCCGCGACGCGAGTGTAGTCTGTAATGTACGAGTACCTGGCGACGGCGGCGACGGCCCGCGCGGCACCAGCCGGCCGCGACGCGAGTGTAGTCTGTAATGTACGAGTACCTGGCGACGGCGGCGACGGCCCGCGCGGCACCAGCCGGCCGCGACGCGAGTGTAGTCTGTAATGTACGAGTACCTGGCGACGGCGGCGACGGCCCGCGCGGCACCAGCCGGCCGCGACGCGAGTGTAGTCTGTAATGTACGAGTACCTGGCGACGGCGGCGACGGCCCGCGCGGCACCAGCCGGCCGCGACGCGAGTGTAGTCTGTAATGTACGAGTACCTGGCGACGGCGGCGACGGCCCGCGCGGCACCAGCCGGCCGCGACGCGAGTGTAGTCTGTAATGTACGAGTACCTGGCGACGGCGGCGACGGCCCGCGCGGCACCAGCCGGCCGCGACGCGAGTGTAGTCTGTAATGTACGAGTACCTGGCGACGGCGGCGACGGCCCGCGCGGCACCAGCCGGCCGCGACGCGAGTGTAGTCTGTAATGTACGAGTACCTGGCGACGGCGGCGACGGCCCCGCCGGGCGCGCAGACGGTGAGTCCGCTGGCGCCGTCGGCCGCCGGTCCGCGCGACGACCAGCTGAATGCGCCGCCGCTAAGCCGGGCCCGCATCGAGTACGCCGCAGACATCATCTCCGGGGACACATACGCACCCACTCCTGTACCATAGGACAAGAAACTTTGTTAAACACTAATCTATAGTCATAATGTGACATCGCATCAACAGCCTATAAGTGTTTACTGCTTCATAGGTCGAGCAGTCGCAAATACCACTATCAAGCAAGGTACGTACCAATAAGTATAGGCTGTGCAATGTCTGGCGGGGCCCCGACGGTGCAGAGCGCGGGCCCATGGTTCCCGGCCGACACTACCCACGACACGTTGTAACGGTTCACTACCTCGCAGATTATGTCGCCAATACGACTGCAAACAATTATTCATTACTATATTATTCTCTAGACCCAAGCAATGATTTTATTCTTAAACACTATTCTAATGTCCATTTTAACCAAGCTCATACCATAAACTTTAAGTAATACTTAGTTAAGAGATGGTTTACGACAAACAGCAACGAGTTTAATTGGTGAAAATGCTCCAAAGACAAGATACATTTTAAACACTGATAGACATGTAATATGTCAGGTCTCATTAATGCAAGCAAGCTATACTATGACCTGACTATATATAAGCTATATGCTGACCTTAGTTACATCCCAAATAAGTCTTAATTACATCCAAGTCAAGAATTACGACTATTTTTAAACAACTATGCCATTCAATACATGTAAGGCCAATAGGTACATGTAATAAGGTCACTCACCCAGCATTAGACCAATGCGCATGTTCTCCATAGCTCATATTGATAACATCAATCTTCATTTTCTTGGACAGTTCCATGACCTTAATGCAAGCTCGCACGAGTGCCGTGCCAGTTTCCATGGACCCCAGGCGACTGTCTCCGATGGTGAGGGAGACGATCTTAGCACCGGGGGCCACGCCATTACGCTCCGGTTCATCTGGGAAGTAGCCTGATGCAATCGCCGCTACGTGGGTGCCGTGGGTTGCTGGAAGATAGTTACAGGAAGTCTTTATTAAAAAATCTTGTTCAGTTAGGGATATTCAGAGAAACCTCTAACTTTTCATGATACGAAAATATAGTTAAGGTCAATTATATAACAGCAACAATAAAAATCAATAAGTTAGTGTCAGTTGGATACACAAATACTGATAAAACTGCATTATAATTATGCATGATAACAACTCGTCCATCACAAGTGGATGATTATTTTTGTAACGAAACAGGAAAATATATTATTTCGATAAATAAAGGAAAACCTAGATAGGAAAATAACCTGCACCATAAAGTACCTACCAGACAAAGTTGATTAACATAAATTCCTGTGGCATGAAGCATTCATGTGGCATTGAATTTTTGGCACAGGCATCTAGACTGAAGTCTACTCACATATTTTTGTGGCATAAAGTTTAAAATAATTAAATTTACAAAGAATATCACTTCCACTATATGTAAATCATATGTTTGTTTGTACTCACAGCACATGCCAACGACCTCAAGAGTTTGTCCTTCATCATGGACATTGATGCTGATAGTCATCTCGTCAAAGGGTGTGAGGTGCGTGTGTTCTTGGGTAACGCTGTACTCGCCCAGGAATGGACCTGAGGCCAGGTCGCCGCATTCTGAAGTGTCAATGCATGCTCTGTGGCCAGAAAAAAGTCGAGGGTTATGCTATGAGTATAATTTATTTGGAGAATACATTTGTCAACTATACAGTGTCAACTAAAGGACTAAATACTAAACAGAGACCAGGCAGCACCATTCTCCAAATCTAGTCTTTTGAGACTGCAAACTCCAACCCGATTGCCAAGTATTGAGACTATGGCAAACTTCTCTTTTGTATAAGAGCCCCATAGACCAGCAGACGACACTCACTGTCTGTTGGTTGATGACAATCATATATTTATGGATGCAGCTATGTGTTAAAATGGTAGCTGCTAAAGAACTTAGCATGGGGCGCAAATAGAATAGGGATTATGGCATAGGTCTTAAGAATCCCAGGCTTTATTTAACATTGAATAGAATTCATATTAAATTATTTGACTAATGTTATGTAATGTATTAATTTCATTTAAACATCACATAAATCATCATAAGTATTATTTCATTACTAAGTGCTCGTTATTAAACTGCCATTTCAATTTGTAGTGTAATGAAAGAATCATAAGTCTCATAATCCATCACAAACAAAGGATTAGCAGTTAGCAGTAAACTATTGTTAAATTAAGAGCATCGTTTATGAGCATGACATTTTGCAATTAAAAGTGAGGAAAAAGGATAAGCAATAGTAGAAGAATGACTTCATTTAGAGACACATTAAGATTCTAATTAATAATTTTCTACACATGTCACATAATACTTATCCAAGTCTAATTATGGGGACTAAATAGCTGATACCATTTCATGTTCTATTACCATCAAACTGTTAATGCAAATGTACTTTGATAACCTAAATTGAAGTGGATGATAACAATTAAATTAAAGAAATAGCTACTAAATTATTGTTAGTGGCTTACGTAATTATTTGACGACTTTCAACCCATGAAACTAGTCGAATTCCTTGTTAAACAGTATTATTCTTACCAACTAGGGTTTAGTATGAGTTCATTTTACGTTTAATGAAACGTTACTGCGTATAACACTGATTGGCCAATTAAAGCGGTGAAAGTGTCAAGGTTTTGATCTAGTGAAACATAAAACAAACTTGTACTAAACCCTAAGGTTCATATTATCCAGGTGACTAGCTTGCACCATGTGAAATAATGCCAACATACCTCCAGACAGTCCCATCATGGAACAACACACAGTCATATGTAGGTCCGACATCATTGTACTTCTTCTCTGCTGTCTGCAAAACTTCCACCCTGGCTTCTAACTCCTCTTTTTGGATTTTGTCCTCCGGGCTCAATACTGGATTCTTGGACACTGGAAGAAGGGCAAATTCATTGGTTTAACAATCAATTACTAAATAGCAATGTTAGTTTACATAATAATGTCTCAATATATGCTCCTGTAAGACTTTTTTATACTAGCTCATTACAATGATAAAGGTTTCAGAGAGATACATTTAATCAGATAATTTAGATTTATTAACCTCCTCTATTTGATATTATTTATTAGAAATCTATTTGCTATCTTAACTTTCAATTTTCTTTTTGAGAGTAACTAATATACTGATATTTACTGGTAAATACAATACTAACCAACATCAGTTTCAAAATCTTGTAAATTCTTGTTAGCTTCAGCGAAAGCTGGCTTGTACCCGATGTCCCAGCTATGTTCCTTGCGATGCTCTTGCATGCGCTCCTTCAGTTTTGTTGGGTATATACTGAATGGGTGTAGGATACCCACTCTCCATGTCCCTGAAGGATTTTTCCATTTTTCTGGGATCTGCAATCATAATTTCAGAATCAATGAATTGGCTTTTGACTAAAAATGGTTTAATTAACTAAATAAAATTTTCCTTGAAATTAAAATTTTTAATTAATGATTGTTTTTTCCAAACCAAATTCTCTATGTTTGGCACTATGCCACTGAAATGAATCAACAAGTTCTTTGTTAGTGCTTTGTTATTTTACTCAAACATACCTACATATCTTATTACTCATTTCTAAAATAACAAAACTAAACTAAAAAAAAAACGTTCTAAACAGATGAAAAATAAAATACTATGTAATCAAAAGACAATTCGGATAATCTAAGGAAAAAATAATAAAATATATTCCCACTAATGACCCATACTCCAACACTGAAGACAGCTGTTATAAACTCACATAAAGAGTCTGTGATAAAGTGGATAGGGGTAAAGATATTCCAATATGCTCGTGAAGTCAGAAGTAGTACCTACATGAAGGAAACACGAATTATTAGCTGTTTAATTCAATTCCGGAAAAGTTTACCTTCAGTTTGCGGCCCGTGAGACCGGTAATGCACCCATCGGAGACTTTTTTAATGATAGTACTAGTGTCTACATCGCCGCAGCCACTGCAGTCGTACCTCTCAATTACCTTCGTTTCACCCGTACTTGTTACCTGCAACCTCAGTAATAATTAATATTGACTCAAATTGTAATAAAACTGCAACTAAACAAATCGTGACATGACAGTTTTTACCGTAAGTCCAGCAGCCGCTGGATCGACGCCGGAATCGAAAATGGCAATAACGGTATCTCTTCCATCATAAATTGGATTTTTGGTGATAAACGATACGACTCCCGTTTCTTTTTTCGGCATTAATCCCCAAACGGGGAAATCACAGTCGATCGGTGCGTCTGCCATTTTTGATGACCCGATAACTAGTGTTGCCAAAAGAAGAAATTAGTATTAGAAACCCAATAATTTAGAACAGTGTTTCCATTATGATAACGCTTGTATTGGCTGCTTATTTTTATCGAAATTAATACAAAAAATTGATATTAGAATGTAAAGTGAAAAGCATTTCTACAAACGTAATATTGTGAACTTTTGTGCTAGGTAATGTAATATAATTTACTACGAACTACTTACTTTTTCTACCTAATAAAAACTTTTCAATCAACAAGAAATCAATGAAATCAAAGCATAGGCCAAAGACCTTAGAAATAGGTTTCACAACCATAAAATAAAATGAATACAATTTATTGTCATTCTTGTCTAATAAGATTTGACATTTACATACGTTACATTAATTAATTATTTGGAAATAATGTGGTTCAACATTTTACCTGGGGGCCTCATTATAGCTGCATCGGTTGGTTTACCAGGATTCGGACTTTGGTGGTTACACTATTTGGTTCTAGGAAACGTTAGTAATAAAAATATTTATTGAATAAATTATTTCTAAGAATATATTATGTGGTAATTGAAAATTTCATTTACTCTCTGGGTTAGTAAGATATATCGCACCTACGGTGCAATATCGTCACTTATGCAATTTTTGTCAAACCTTAACTGATGAAAGAATACTCCAAATTCACCTCTTTGCTTGGTGCGTTATTTATTGTCATTTGTGTAGTAAGCAAACTGACATTGTGAGGGCATTACTGTCGTTACGGTTTTGGCGCTAATCTGGATGGCACTAGGAGAAACAACGTTTCAACGGGCCTCCGCAATACATAAGTGACGGTATAGCACCGGCGGTACGATATGTAACGACCCACTGACTAATCTAGCTAATCCCATGTGGATTCACTTGCTGCTCGGTTCTTAGGGATTGTAGTCATCAGTGTTGGGCAAAATTTAGTTAACTAATGATTGATGACTAATGATTGAATGTGTTAGTTATGATTGATGACTAATGATTATTTAGTTTAATCACGAGGTGATGACTAACGATTGATTAGTTTTAATCTTAATCAAATAATCATGATTATTTATTTATGATTGATATTTTTTAATACGAGGTAAGGTAAAATATTTTTTCTGCTTCTTAAAAAATACTGAATTGGACACAAAACGTTACTGTAGGTTAGGTTAGACTTTAGTGTTTTAGTTTAAAATTCAGTATTTTTTGGTGGTCAGATAAATAGATGCCCTGGTAAAATCTTATGATACGGAGAAATGGTTTTCAGTATAACGGGTTTTTTTGTAACACCTTCTATAACTTTAGTAGTTTTTAGGGTCCCGTACCTCATCTGACTGTAATCATGTAATTTATTACTTGTTTTTCGAAAAGTAAATGATGTCATCGTATTGCTTTAACGATTATAAGACTAACTAAATTACACTTGTATTATTTTATTTATTTATTAATCATCTCAGTGTAACTGTATTGAACTTTATAAACACAAATAATATATTTAAGAAAGCTATATAATATAGGGTGTAAAGGATGGCTTACCAAAGTAAAACCATGGACTCAGATCATCATCCTAAGTAACGGACCGAAGGGATTTTTTCTCGGAAAAGAATAAATTTTGGCCTTTCTATACATTATATTCTATTAGCAGCCGACTTTAATATTTTGTATGCAGAGTCAAAAATTTTTTTCATTTCCGTACCTAATTCCTTCAGTACTTTACTCAAGATAATGGTCTGAGACTTCGGTCAGCTGATCCTTATACCCTGTATGTGTAGTGTACCAACACCTGTGCATCGAGCTTAGTCATACATTCATGATTAAAACTAATGATTGGTGATTTGCGATTAACGAATTTAGTCATGACTAATGATTGTTCTCGTTAGTTATGATTAAATTAGTCATGACTAAATTAATCATGATTAGATCAATCATGATTGATGAATTGATTGAATAAATTAGTTGATTTGCCCAACACTGGTAGTCATACAGTGCGGAAATTCATAGCTAACAGTTACATTATAGCCCTCCTCAATAAATGGACTGCCTAACACAAAAATAATTTATCCCTAGAAATACAGAAAAAGAGTCCAAACAAATAAAATATTCAGCTATATTTTTAGCTAGTTATTCCCGCGCAGTTTCACTTGCTGCTCGTTTCCTATTGGTCATAGTTAGGCTAGAGATGTTACATTATAGCGCAATTCAATACAATGTTGAGCTTGAGACAGTCAGATATCGTAATAACTTTCAAAAGAATCGGCATAATTATGTGTTATTTTATTGTATAGAAACAATATGAATAATTACATAACAAACACATCACACACATTAAAACAAGTAAAAATTACCAACCTGCGCTTTTCATTATTTGGTCACACTTTGCTATCAGCTGGGAGGATTTTGGTAGTGACTCTGGTAACACACAGTTTACTGTCATTCGAATTACGAAATTGTTGCTACTCTGCTTAGTCCGATAATTTGTGAAAATGTGGTACGAAATTCTGCCCAGCGCTTTCATTATCACAGCAGCCTTAGGTTTGCCAGGATGGGGTCTTTATCACATTCACAATTTAGTTTTAGGCAATGTAAGTACATTAAAAATGTTAGATAACCACTCACAGTCTCAACAAAGTATCTTGTCCTATACCTACTTCCATAGATCATACAGAGTCGAATCACAAATATTTTGGTTTCACAGATAATAACATAATTACGTACCTTTAACATTCTGTCATCTATCATCATGCATATATCCCTTAGTACTTCTACAAATTGATTTAGGATCATGTTTACCAAGTACAAATGTTGAAATAACTAACTAGTGACATTTTTGAATAAAATTCATTATAAACTTCATCAGACAATTTTCTAGTCAAACAAGACAAATAGGCTATATATTGGTATATTAAATCAATATTCAAAATGAAATGAAATAATGAAATGATGTTTTACTCTATTACAGCATTACAGGCGCACTCTTGACTCCAGGTGGGATCGCCATATTTACCAGAGGGATCTGAGACTTAATGGAAATCCCTACAAACTAACTGTAAGCCTCTTAAATATTAAAAACTATACCTAGTAGCTTGATTGAAGTAATGGTCTAGATCTAGATTATGTAAAAAATAAATATAAAATCACTGTCTTATTGGCAGAGTGGTCGCAAGTGCGACTGCCGGTTAAGGTCTCTGGTTAAATTCCCAGGATGGGCAAAGTATTACTGGGTTTTTTTAAAATCCCAGTAGTAGCACGGAATCTGAAATAGTCCCCGGTAGGTATATGGCAATAGGCTCACCCCCTATTACATGGGACTCATAAGATAAATAGTGAAGTCAGTGTTTACTTTGTACTGTGGCATTTAGTGCCATAATGTGCACCTCTGACTACCTCTACAGGGAAGAAAGATGTGATGTTATGTTAGGTTAAATATAAAATATGCATTCAATGCCAGCCTTCTGGGCGCTCTCTCCATTGGCATAGATGCAGTTGTCTTTCAATTGTTTTTTGTATAAAACTAATTAATCACTTAAACTGTTTAAAAACTATATACATATCTAAATTTTTATTAATCTATTTTAGATTGCATAATATGCAATCTCAACATCAAATATTATTGGATGTTGTGAGTTTCACATTTTCTTTTCATTTTTCAGGGTCTGGAGACAATTGATGATTGAGAGAGACATTCATTGCTGCAGACCTAATTGATTGAATTATGTTCTATATTAGATATTTTTGTTGCTAATAAATACACAGTAATTTATTTTGTTGTTTGAAATACATTGATTTTTATTTATAGGTAAATATTAGGTTCAACTTGGTTCATTGTAACAAGAACTTTAGTGCCTAAGGTATATTGTAAAGGCGATTGATAGGTAAACATGGAGTCTCTGATTAATTTCTAGATTGGGGTAGGTACAGTAACTACATAGTGAACTTTTCTTCACAAAATAATAACGCAAATCGGTCCTTAAAACGCCATGTAATTGTTGTACACACAGAAAACAAAGTAATAAAAACATACCGGCCAAATTGAGAACTTCCTCCTTATTGGAAGTCGGTGAAAAATTCGCCTCAGCGTAGCCTGTGTCTTCGAAGAACAGATGTGATGGTAGGTTGAGGTATTGGTTAAATAGTGAAATCCAATCTATCCTCTCTCTTTTATTAGTCTCTTAGGCAGAGGTGGATTAAACTTAGAGAGCGCCCTAGGCAAACTCCCCGTTGGCATCCCTAATTTGTTTTTAGCACCACCGTCACTCGATGGCAACGATCTCCCGGCACTGCATCGTAGTATCTCTCTTTCTGTAATCTGGCGCCCTAGATACTTACCTAGTTGCCTTAAGGATAATCCGACTCTGGTTTCAAGCAAAGTAATAAAAGGTATCAAGTGTTAATTATCGAAATTACACGATAACCGAATCGATTTGAATCGAATATTTAAAAAAATGCGATCTCGATGAATGACATCATTAGGTCATTTGATTAATTGACAGTGACAGTGACAGATAACTGACAAGCAAGTAGGTACTGTTCAGGTTCACGTTTGTTTACTTTTGTTGGTTATTCATATAATTTTGTAAACATTTCTATTTTATTTAACCATGCATAAACAGTAAACATGGATAAAGATACTTGTTTTATTGACATCACAGCCGAATTCTTGGGAGTTGCTTTTCACAGTATTCTTTACTATACATCAGTTTATCCCAAAAATATTTTTGAAATGCGCAAAAAGTACAATGTTGTGGTGTATCGTTCTATTCACCCTGAGGTGAATCAGTATATTGAGCTTTGCTTGAAGACCATCGTGGAATGTTTGAAGAATAATCAACTGGATTGCGTGGAGTTTGTAGTGACAGAAAGTGAATACAAGCCTTTATTGAAGTTTGTCTTTCAGTTTGATAAGAACAGCATGTTTGATGAAACATTAGACGCGTATTTAGTGCAGTGTGAACAGAATTTGCGAGCCTTCTGCTTGAAATTGTCTTCCATTAGCAATAATTTAAAAGAACTTCCTGAAAATAGCAGCTTTTCCATATACATTCATACCAATGAGTCCAACGCTGTTGCAATGTCCACTAATCCCGAGTTTGAAGAGTTCCCATTAATTGAAGTAAAAGACATTTATGAAGAGACTGACAAGATAATTCCTCTCAGCAGGTTTTCTATAAGAAGTTATGCCATTGATACTTATGTGGAACTTAAATAGATGTACGAAATAGTTTTGATTTGATATTGAAATTGTTAATTGACATACTTGTTATGCACTGTAAATACTTATACTATTGATTTGTGTAAATACAAACTATACCAATATGATAGCTACTTGTATTATTGAATGCAGTTGATATAAACTAAAGAAGTATTAAGGGTCATTTTTGGTGACACTTCAAATCCTGCCGATTCCATTCAATGGGGCAGACAACAAGTTTTAGTAAGTTCATATAGGCACACTATAATAATGGAGATTTTATTGTATTTAAATGTATGAATGCATGTGATACAAAGCCATAGCTGTAAAGGAAAAACATTTTTATGAAACAAAACTTCTTAAGATTGTGTTTACGCAGCGAAAAACTATGCTTAAGAGTTTAATCTACTTATTTTTGTATTTCTGCAAGGAATTTCAATATTAACTAAATAATAACTTAATAAGGTCATTATTGGTAATTAATTTTTAACATTCATTATAAATGATTATGTCAGAAATGAGATCCCAATAAGACTCGAAATTTATAGAGTTTAGTACAAAATTCTTCATAAATAAAAATCACAGTATTTGTATCCATATTATTTTATTTAAGTACTCGGAAACCATACCTAATTATTTATTTCTTTTTTATTTAAAGTATTGTAAAATAAACGTCATAGAATCTCAGCAGATACCATCTTCATTCTTCAACTTTACTCTCAAACATCTCAACCTGGAGTATATCTCATCCCAGTCTACATAGGCACCTATTAGTTGCCTTACATTATTCTCACTGTCCTCATAAGCGTTCCGACCATGCAACAACCTTATATTATTGAAACATAGAATGTCACCAGCAGAAGTTTTAAATCGCGCGCCGAACTTCTGGTTCAAAGCTAAGAAATTAGCGTGAGCTTCATACCAAGGCTTCACTAACTCAATAGGTCCAGGAAACTGACTCCCCCTTTGTGGAATAGAAAAATTTATTCTCGTTACTTCACCGTGTCGGTCCAGGCAGACGACCGGATCACGATGTAGTTTGTAAAACTCGTTACCATCTTCTATGCCAACGTCTCTCCACTCGATTTCCGTATCAGTGAGCAGTTTATATTGCTCTGGGTGATGCACTTTCATATATTGTGCGACATAATGACAGTCGGATAGTACATTTTCTCCTCCTCTACTAACTGTTTGAACTAAACAATGTAATAAATTCACTCCAGGGCAATATTCATAGTACGGTAGGTCAGTGTGCAATTGTAAATTACTCGACAAGTAGGCCACATTACTTGTATTCGGCACATTCCGCACAACAAACTTGACGCCGTAGTGTGTCCTCTTTGTAAATCCGATTTTATTCACAACTGCGTCTATAGCTGTCTCGGAGTCCGGTGTGTTCTGAATTAATGCGACTCCGTAAACAGATAACTGGTGTAGCCAGTTGTACAGAGCCTCATCGGAGTTTAATATCTCATTGTAATCGTGTTTGGTAAATATTTTTGGGAAATCTTCGTTGTTCCATGTAATCTTTTTGGGTTTATAAATAGTTTCCGTATATTTATTTTGATTTTCCGTGGTAAAACCTCTAAACTTCAGCCAGTTTAAATTATATTGCGATGTATGTCCGTCGTTCCAGGTGACTTGTAAAGAATTTTGGTCTTTAGAGACGTCTTTCGGTTTCACGTTTATATCAAAATTGTTCCAGTCAAGTATCCTGCTCTTGGCTGAAGTATGATAACACTGTTCACACTGGCAGTTCTCTCTTAACCACACGTATGGGAACTGTAGAGATTCACCGCGAATATCAACACTGAGTAAATCATCTGTTTTATTTTTGAATAGCACATTTAGAGTGTGAATTGTTTTGATACACGATGCGCTTGGCAACGTTTTTGTAAATTTTGTCGCACTCGTAATGAGTCTCAAGGCGAACATGTTGACGTGCTGCCCCGACTGAACGCGGACTACACTGAGTTTGGACTGTGATATACTTAATATAATTCATATTATATAAATTTATTTAAATGAACTGGAATGTTACTTACACTGAGATATGATTCAAAACGTGTGCGTTGATAAGGTGAATGTGTGCAGACAACTATTTGGATAATTGAGCCAATTGTTGTTTAATTTGATGATGTAAGAACAATTTACGGATGTATATTATTATGTATCTTTGCTAGGTATGTATAGGACCTGCCTGCCTTTTTTTTAAGGGGGGAAAATCATCGAATTACTGCTCCCGCCTGGGTGAGGCGGGAGGGAGTGTCAGACTCTTACTGACTAAAAACCACCCCGTTCCTTCTCCTGCACGTCGAGTCGGAGCCCCGGTTACCCGTTAGGTTCTCCGCGACTCCTGCGACTCAGGACCTGCCTGCCTAGGTACTTATTGTCGGTAGTCAGTAGTTATAACCTGTCGTCTGTGGTACAGCCATTGGTTCAAGCAGAAGATAAAAGTCATGGGCACAAGGCCTACATAATTCCGCCCTGAGTACACGGTGGAACAACCTGTAGGGGCATGTCCTGCGTGGGCTGAGCACCGCCGTGGCCTCGGGGATGTGATCGGCGACGGCGATCTCTCGCGTCCGGCCCTAGTCCGGGCTATGATGCGGAGCGAAGAGACCTGGGATGCCGTCTCCTCCTTTTGCGACGCCCAGCTGTCGTGAAGGCCACTCCGGGGGTCGGGGATCGCGGAACGATCTCCGGCCACCGTAAGTACGGGCCTGCGGACGGCGAGCACGGGTGGCTCGCCCGACCAGAACCAGACCCGAGCGTAGGTACGGCAAGTCGCGTTCCGCACGCGCCTCAAAGAGCCATTAGACCACCACGGATGGGACCCAATAAGGCATCAGCCGATACGGAGCCGCGGACGACTTAACGAGTTGCCGGAGCTCCGGCTCAACGGGCAGGAGTAGGAACAGTCAGTAAGAGTCTGACACTCCCTCCCGCCTCACCCAGGCGGGAAAAGACATTCGATAATTAAGTACCCCCCTTAAAAATAGAACAATAGGGTAGATGCCTAATTTTTATTTTAATGTCCGTCTGGTAGATTATTTTAAAACATTAGACACGTATTTTTTATTTTCTTATAGAAACAAATACTTTCGACGATATATTGATTTGAAATGTCGCGTGACGTCACTTCTATGTAGGTACTTTTTATACGTAGAAATGACGTTTTTTCGAAATAGCATTGTTCAGATTCGCTGTATCAAAATGAGAGACGTACGATCATATTAGAAACTTACTTAGGTTTCTGATGCGATATCTAAGTAAGTATAATGGAAAAATTTAACCAAATTATACACACCCATGATGATATAGGTACTATTTACGAACTGGCGACTGTGCAAATAAATTAAAATTATATTTATAACACATAAAAATATTCGAGTATGAGTGTAAGTCCACATTGAATTGTAAATCATTCAGAAACCGGACCTAATTTGGCCTTTATATTATCTATAGGTGATCGACCTTTTGTTGACAATAAGAACCTTATATAAGAGAACGATTACGCATGAATACGATTATTGTATAATTATTATCTGCGTGCGTGCGTAATAATGGGACAGTCTTGGGCACATATAGGTATTGAAGAGATAAATGATACCAAAAGAAGACACACTCAATATATCATTGTTACAGGTAAGAAAAACCAAAGTTAGTCGACATAGCAGTGGCATGTCCATATACTTTTATATTGGCATAATTAACTTGATAGATTACTTAGGTAGTATAAAGCAGAATTGGTTTACACATAATTATATTATACTAGCTTTTGCCCGCGGCTTCGCTCGCGTCACAAAAGGATAAAAAGTAGCCTAAGTGACATATACCAATACATACAGCGCCATCTATACTAACACTTTTGTTTTCCCTCGGGAATATCAAAATTTTCCGGGATAAAAAGTACCCTATTATTTAATCCGGACTTTTAACTTTACGTCTGCCAAATTTCAAAGCAATTGGTTTAGAAGTTACGGCGTGAAAGCGGAACAAACAAACAAACAAACTCACTTTCCCATTTATAATAGTATAAAGGATTGTGAACCTTTCCGCTAGAACTATGATACAGAATAATGTTATTAAGACTGAATTCATAGTCCGTAAATTAATTTAATATTTTGGTCCATGTTTTATACTTACCAATTAAATACCAATTTTAGATTTTCCACTTCTGGGATTTAGTTATTAAAACAATTATTTTTATTATGTAAAAATATAATTCATATAAACAATTTAAATACAATTAAAATTATATTCATAACCTTAAATTATCGAAACAACATTGTTATCTAAGTGTAGCCCAATAAATTAATTGTAGTCAAGTAAATGCATTGGCGTGAGTAATATGGTCAGATGCAGATTAATCTCAAAGAGCGCACTAGACAAGCACTTCATAGGCGCCTCTGAATTTTTATTGGCGCCGTAATCATACTGGGTACACGTGACTCGCGCGTTGGTGTTACCTGGTGCCCGGCACTTGCATAGGTTGCCTTAGGAATAATACGGCTTTGAGTATCGTCTTGTACATACTAAGCACTGTCATGGTCGATTAAGGTAATCGCGGATTTTTGTCAGGTATAAAATAGTTACATAACATATTGTTATCTGTCTCTAATTACATACTGTTTAGGAAAAAGATTTATATGTTCCTGTAAACAGTTATTCAATTGTAGTATAGTTGATTGTAATTAGCGATCTGGGCAAGAAATGAAAAAAATATATTATTATTTTTGTAAACATTATAATTCAGGTATGTTTGACACATGAAATCATTACATAACGATAGCACTAAAGAAAAATCTTGTACGGATAACAATGTAAAAATAAGTGTATAAAAATTTACTTGATCAGTTTATAGAGCAAAAATCTTGAGTTTCGAGCACTAAAACTAAATGTAAGCACAACACCAGAGATTGACTAAAACAGAGTATATGAAGATCGAGCCTTCTCCTTTCAGTTCGTGCATAATATTATAATAAATTAATCATAAGTAGACAAAATTACTTTAAATCCTATCTAGAACGAACTAAGGCCATTTGGTAAAAGTAAAACAGTGTTGTCAGTTTGAATATCGATAACAATATTTTGTTCTTGAACATAAAACATTTGAAAATCAAGGACTTGCAACAGTCGTAAAAAAATATTAAAATGGTAACAGATACGTTTAAAAATCGACCTTAACACTAAGTGAACAAAATTGTACATAAAAATTACCATAACTAATGTTTGATCTGTACTTTGATTCTATGATAAGCGTTACTAAGTAGCCCTCTAATGTTCCAAATATCATCAAACTTCTCTGGTTGAGTGTTGAAGTTGCTGTCCGTGGCCTTCGCCCATAATTCAATCTGTAATTAATAGTTTGATTAACATACAATACTTTCTACAAAGTATCTCCTAGTAAATAATGATACACGATTGTTCAGAAACATTTTATTACGTTTTTTTCTTTAGAGAGAAGATAGCGAAAAAGCAAAAAGTAATGCTAGTTGGCGCCACTGTCGACAATGCTCCTATCCATACGCTATTGCCATTTAATTAAAGTTTAATTTTCCTTAGTTTTTGTAAACGTGCAGCAGTAAGCACGATAAATTCTGTAATATAAAATCCACAGAAAAGCGTGGACAAAGCTTGCATTGTATTTCGCCGTGCGAGTGCGGTTACCGGAGATTCAATCCTCTCCCTCCAAAAGGGCAAGTGATACTCCAAAAGGGCATAACTTCTCTGATGTTGTGGGTGTCCATGGTATGGGTGGTGCTGATTGCTCATCAGGTAGGTACCTGATGACTAGGTTAGTCTACCTCTGATTGTTTGCCTAACCCTTAAAAAGCTACCATTTGATGATACCTCTTTCTGCTCCTTACGGACGGGTATCCTGGCAGTCCACAGCGTCCAGGAGTAGTGTTGCTGAGGCGGTGCATCATCAGTCTGCATCTCCTCAGCTTGCACCCAGGTCTCACCGCAGTCTGGTGATATGTCCACTCGGAGGATCTTAGCACCACCGCCGGAGTAGGCATAACCTTGTTGTACGAGAAATTAAGTTTAATGTCGCACTTGAAATCAAAGTAGCTTTTCAGAGGAGAAATCCAATGAAAGAGCAACATCCTGCAACAATGTAATGGAAGAGCGGTTGCAATATCCAATTAAAACTCTTATGTCGGAATACTCAAACGCTACTCAATTTTAAGTCGCGCTTAAGTATAGTTCTGTCTCTACAAATTATTTGTAAAATGACAGAGATAGCACGATATTTAAGTACGACTTAAAATTAAGTAACGTTTCAGTATTCCGGCATTAGTAATCTTTATAATCATTCCTTTCTACGTTTGTACATTTATATCTTTTTAAATCTTTCATTGAGTGAAACACCGTACTTGTTTCCACGCCATCTATTACTATATCTACACATGTTTCTTATGCAAAGAGGAATCTTCGTAATTTGACAACAGATGTCGCTGTGTCCGAATAAAACAGTTGAAAATCAGTACTCAAACCCTTACCTCTAATTTCTACGACTCCATTCTTTGCCACAACGGTGTCTCCGTTGGCTGGGTCGCATATAGCGGACGTGACAGGCAGGCTGTATATAGGCGGGGCGGTCGCAAAGTCCGCTGTCTCCCATGTCTTGGACGCGTTGAAGGAACGGTAGTCTTTCTGGTGCCAGTGAGACGAACTCTCGTCTTTTGATATTGTTATTGACTCTATGGATAAAAGCGTCGGGTTTGAACAACTCCGGCTATGATAGAAAATCACTTAGAATTAAATTAATGATATTCGTAGAGCCGTTAGCTATCTTGTACACGAATTGGTTAAATGGGGAATTAAAATCTCACATACACCTAAAATTGGAAGCATAGATTTCGGTACAAGGAGAAGTGACATGAAGAAGCCACCCAGGTGAAGCATATTGCTCAGCTAGGTCAAAACATTGTACCTAAAAATATTTGACATTTGTTTTGATTTTGGACTTATTCAAACTAATAAAACGCAGTAGATATTCTTTCAACTATGTCCTTTCTCTAACTATCCAGCCTTTTAAAGCATAACTTAAAGTCGACTTTTAAAACCTTCCCATAATATAAGGCGCGCCGGGCACGACGGCCCGCAGCGGGTGTCCGTGGTCGGGCGGTAGGACGGCGCCGTTCATGTGACATAATATAGTTACCCAGCCACTTGACGCTCCTGACGGCGGGCGCGCCGGGCACGACGGCCCGCAGCGGGTGTCCGTGGTCGGGCGGTAGGACGGCGCCGTTCATGTGACATAATATAGTTACCCAGCCACTTGACGCTCCTGACGGCTATCTACACATGTTTCTTATGCAAAGAGGAATCTTCGTAATTTGACAACAGATGTCGCTGTGTCCGAATAAAACAGTTGAAAATCAGTACTCAAACCCTTACCTCTAATTTCTACGACTCCATTCTTTGCCACAACGGTGTCTCCGTTGGCTGGGTCGCATATAGCGGACGTGACAGGCAGGCTGTATATAGGCGGGGCGGTCGCAAAGTCCGCTGTCTCCCATGTCTTGGACGCGTTGAAGGAACGGTAGTCTTTCTGGTGCCAGTGAGACGAACTCTCGTCTTTTGATATTGTTATTGACTCTATGGATAAAAGCGTCGGGTTTGAACAACTCCGGCTATGATAGAAAATCACTTAGAATTAAATTAATGATATTCGTAGAGCCGTTAGCTATCTTGTACACGAATTGGTTAAATGGGGAATTAAAATCTCACATACACCTAAAATTGGAAGCATAGATTTCGGTACAAGGAGAAGTGACATGAAGAAGCCACCCAGGTGAAGCATATTGCTCAGCTAGGTCAAAACATTGTACCTAAAAATATTTGACATTTGTTTTGATTTTGGACTTATTCAAACTAATAAAACGCAGTAGATATTCTTTCAACTATGTCCTTTCTCTAACTATCCAGCCTTTTAAAGCATAACTTAAAGTCGACTTTTAAAACCTTCCCATAATATAAGGCGCGCCGGGCACGACGGCCCGCAGCGGGTGTCCGTGGTCGGGCGGTAGGACGGCGCCGTTCATGTGACATAATATAGTTACCCAGCCACTTGACGCTCCTGACGGCGGGCGCGCCGGGCACGACGGCCCGCAGCGGGTGTCCGTGGTCGGGCGGTAGGACGGCGCCGTTCATGTGGGTCGCCAGCAGGATTCTGTTGCTCGGGTTCAGGGCCTGCTCCAACGGAATCGACGTCGAGAAGTTCACTCCAGTCGCGTCTATGTCCGAGCCTGTGAACTGGAGATAATAAAACCTATAATTTTGAATGGATTTGATAAATCAATACATAGTATAAAACAAAGTCGCTTCCGCTGTATGTCCGTATGTATGCTTAGATCTTTAAAACTACGCAACGGATTTTGATGCGGTTTTTTTTAATAGATAGAGTGATTCTTAAGGAAGGTTTGTATGTATATACATATTGCACCCGTGCGAAGCCGGGGCGGGTCGCTAGTGATGTATAAATAAATAAACGATAGAAGTACAATTAGAATGTTTAATAGGAGTATAATCGCCATTTTCATTACTTAGCGCGAGGAAACAAAGTCAAAGTCAAGTTAAAGTCAAAATCATTTATTTCAATTAGACCAGGAAGGCACTTTTGAACGTCAACAACAAAAAAAAAATGATAACTAGGTGTGATTCCTATGGAGAAGAACACATAAACTAACTCAGTACCTTTGGGTGTCATTTACAGGTTGGTGAAAATCAATATGTCGTTAAGTATCACTTAGCTTAGGAGTTCCTTTTACTACCCACTATTTAGATAGAGCCCATACTATTTTTAGAACCCAGAAGTTAGTGAAAACGGGCGAAGCTAGCAACATAGTGCTGAAAGAAGAGCATAATTCTTATTTACATAGATCATTCAATGTTGGTGGTAGAGGACTTATATAATTATAAGGCAGGTAACGTAAGTATCCTGCGGACGGTGAGCACGAGTGACTCGCCGCCCGACCAGAACCAGGCCCGAGCGTACGGCGCCGAGCGTTCCGCGCGCGCCTCAAGAATCCATCAGACCACCATGGATGGGGCCTAAAGTCAAAGTCAAAGTCAAAATCATTTATTTTAATTAGGCCAGAATGGCACTTTTGAACGTCAAAATAAAAATAATATTAAAAGTGAAGCTATTTGCTCATTCCAAGGTGTAGATTCCTATGGAGAAGAACGAGCAAGAAACTTCATAGGTTACTCTTTTTCAATCAGGTTCACAATACAATTTACTAGTTACATAGCTTTGCTGTTTGGATTTGTGCGAGAACAATGTAACACCAAAATCCAGTCAAAGTGATCAAGAAAGAAAATAACCTTAAGAACAATAATACAGTCTGGAGCTGACCAGTCCCAGTTGACGGCGCCCGTTCACGAACATGACCGCGCGCCACCGCCAATGAGACCTTTGACTGAGCATGACAACTCCAAGCTGACACAACCTAACAGGGCTGATGGCGATACGGAGCCGCGGACACTTAATGGGTAACCGGGGCTCCGGCTCGAAGTGCAGGAGTAAGAACGGGGTGGTTTTTAGTCAGTAAGAGTCTGACACTCCCTCTCGCCTCACCCAGGCGGGAGAAGTCATTGGATGATTTTCCCCCCTCAAAAAAAAGGTAATGTGAGTATATACGTTACAATGACGTGTTTCCCGGCGACGTCGGTGTTGTCGACCCCGCAGGCCCTCAGTACGTCGACCAGTAGCACGCCCTCCCACACCGCGTTACTGATGGCGCCGCCCTGCCAACTTATGCCCTTCACTGGCTTCACCTGCTTTGGATTCAAACAAAACAAACACTTATTAGGACTTGTGTATAAATATCAGAGTGCATTACAGATTAAAGACCACAGCACACCAACATATGTTAACCGGTATTTTTCAATAGATTTTCGACGTTATTAAAATACAATAAAGTTGGAAATGTATTTTGATCACTATATGTTCCTAATGTCGGAATACTGAAACGCTACTCAATTTTAAGTCGTGCTTAAGTATAGTAGTAGTTCTATCTCTACAAATACTTTGTAAAATAACGGAGATGGCACGATATTTGAGCACGACTTAAAATTGAGTAACGTTTCAGTATTCTGGCATAAGACATTGATCATTGATCATCAAATGAACAGACTGAGCGGATTTTTATATAGTTTTTATTGATAAAGTTGGTTTTTGAAAACTTTGATTGAAGATGCGGGTCAGAAAGCCAGTACAAATAACATTTTCATTAGTAATAAGAGTAAATAATACCTCATTCATCTCACTGCGTCGGTTCCCGGCACACATGAGCGCGGCGCGTACTTGAGTCCGCGGGAACATGTCCAGTTGCTGCAGGCTGAACTCGCGCGTCACTGTCTCTCCATTCTCTATGGTCACCCGCACTCGATGCTGAGACGAGTCCAACTCTGGAACAGGCATGTGTTGACGGACGTAAAATAATTCGCTGTAAACAAAAGAACACCGTCAGAATAGAAGAGGGGATTGCAATATAGTATCGTGTGGGACAAGGTTCATAAGGACTAATATTGCGTGTAAAATATTTTAAGGCTAGGTGATTGAACTTTCTATGTAGAGTAAGAATGTGTAACAGACAACATCAAGCAAGAGGGACTAGAGACATGAAAACAGGACCACGAACTAAAGATAGAAAATATTATGCTATAATGTGTTCAGATGTTGACGGAAATATGCTAATAATAACTACGAGAATATTAATACAGCGTTACGTGTGATGTCATAAAAATATTACATCTTATATTATAATTTCTAAGAACACAAATATTAATGAATGGCACACAATATTAAGAGTAATCAAAAGCCAAAATACAAACACAACACAACATTTACCAACATACTTGGGCGTGTCGAAGTGTTCGACCTGTAGCTTGGCCGGTATCTCCGCGTTGAACGGCTTGCTGGTCTTCACTATCAGCCGCTTGTCTCTGCTCGGCTCCTTCACCCACAACTCGTCACCGGAATGGTCCATCATGTCATCTTCGTGAAGGTTACCTAGGAAAATAAACAACGTATATTATTGTTATGGGACATTTCCAGTTGTTATGAAGAATATCATTCAATAGGGGTTATTGTCTATTATCAGATGGCGGATATACCTGTAAAGCGTGATGTCCTATTTGTCCAATTAGGTACTGTCGCTCCCAAAAACGTCAAAGTTCAAAATTTCAAAAAAAAGTTCAAAAGTCAAAGGTCAAAAGTCCACTGCCACCGTGAGTGATGTTCACACGGCAATGCGTAGGTAATTTCATGTTAATGTGCATAAAACGCGTGCGTTCGCATAAACACACACACGGATAGAAATATGCGTGTGCATGTGGGTATAAGCGCTGCAGCGCAACCGATTGTAGTCTTACGGTGGCAATGGACTTTTGACATTTGATCGTACAATGGTGTGTGGTGTGACACTAACTAATTGTAAGCGAAAAACGTTAACCCCAATTTTGTGGCCTATTTTTTCATTTACCATTTTAAACTAACCTATTCTATAACTCTCCAATAAGGCGCAGATATCCTTCGTCTTGTGCATGCCGTAGACGTTCCAGAACGGTTCTATGCTGAGACCTCCCGCGTTCATGATCTGGTCCCCTCCAGGATGGGAGGGCAGGAATGAGGTCACATCGTACACGCCGTTCTTGTATATTACCCAAAAGCTTTCCCTGTGGATAAAATACAAGAGTAAATTAATGACCTATTCATTTCCTTAGTTTTCTGATACGATCAAAGTACTACATTAGATTTCATGAAAGACCAAAAGAGATATGAAGCATTAAGGTCGCCTTATGTGCCATAATAAAATTGTGTACATAAAAGAATAAATACGTAAAATAATAAAATATGTTTCTAGTTTTGAGAAATGTCAAATTTCTAGTTTTAATATGAGCCTCCAGCATGGCTTGAAACCAGTCGAGTTCCTCGTTAGAAAGTTAATTCGTCAAACATAATAATTAATTTAGTATATCTCACGAAAGTTTAATACAAACATAGTTTTAAGAATTTAGTCAACTACTGAACCGCCAGCTAATAAGCATGCAGACTCAATAAAAAATAGCTAATAAATAGTATTTTTGATCGAACTGTTAGTTTTATTGCTTAGCTAGGGGATCGTATTTTCTTAATCTACTTCTACAATACAAGGCCTATCTTTTTAATCTATTGATTAATTATTGATTAATCGATCAGTAAATTAAAAACTATCGATCGATTAATAGCTAATTCTTGGCTACGCTAACAGATTTCCACGCTCATTGGACTGCAACGAAATTACACTTTCATGAGGCTATTCCGTTCCGAAGTAACACAAGATGATTGAATAGGCAAGTATTAAACTGTTTTATACGAATGGAATGTCTGTAAGTATTCATTAAATCTTTGACTATCAGTAGATAAGCGTTGAAGGCTTTTCCGCTAACTATTAGCATTATGCGTGCACTTGTAGGGTTAAGAAAAAAGAGGTTAATAATGTAGACTGCACGGTTGGCGCGGTGACTGGGCAACCGGCTGCTGCTTGACGTGTAGCGGGTTCGATTCCCGCACGGAACAACTCTTTGTGTGATCCACAAATTGTCGTTTCGGGTCTGGTTGTCATGTGTATGTGAACTTGTATGTTTGAAACGCACCCACGACATAGGAGAAAATTCTAAGTTGGTGAAAAGTTTTTTTTTAACTATTATTGGTCTGTAACATAACACAGGCAATTTATTTAAGAAGGTGGTATGATACCTTCTTAAATAAATTGCCTGTTTATCACGGATCATGAACTCATTTCCTTTAGGGGTGTGTGTTCAAGATTACTACATTATCGAAAAAAAGATAAACAAGTCATGTTATTGATATTTTATCATAACACATCGACCTAAGATTTATATTGTAATAAAATATACCTAGGACTTGATTTTCACTAAGTGATAAAGACCTCTTTAAAAACCTCTTTGACGAACTTTTGTATTAATGGAAAAATTGGCAGTGTGTTGTTATTAGGTAAATAATATTATTCCATTGACGACACAATTTAAATATTTTGTCACGGTTTAGCGATATATAAGTACGTCAGTTCTACCCATACATGCGTATTTATTTATTACTTTGTTATCAACTAACAAGTAACGAGTGTAAAGTGCGTCAATAGTTCACTAATAATTTCAATTATATTACAAAACTATACTAAAAATAAACCACGAAACAAAATATTTGTTAAGTAAAGTGACCTCATAATATAAACAGTAACGTTTGCACCGCATCTTAGAAACTACTAAATCGATTTTCATAAACATTTTATGCAGTTCGACTAAAAATACTTAGCCAAAGTCAAAAAAGTGTAATGTCTAGAAATTACACTTTTTTATGGTATAAGCCGGTAAACGAGCAGACGGATCACCTGATGGTAAGCAATCGGCGCCGCCCATGGACACTCGAAACACCAAGGCGTTACAAGTGCATTACCGGCCTTTTGGGAATTGGGAATTTGAGGATGTGGAGGATTCGAGGATTCGGGTGACGGGGACTTGGGAGGGGGTAATTGGGCCTCCTGTACCCTCACTCACACGACGAAACACAACGCAAGCGTTGTTTCACGTCGGTTTTCTGTGAGGCCGTGGTATCACTCCGGTCGAGCCGGCCCATTCGCGCCGAAGCATGGCTCTCCCACACTTAAAGTCTTATATGTATAAACTTATTAAGTCGGGTCGGGTAATAATTGTATGACAAAGCCACAATGAATGTTAAACAATTTTATTATAGGTTCCATAAGCACACAAAAGATGGCTATTGGATATAGTAAAGTTTACAAATTATAGCCATTGGCTGACCACATAATACCGTATCTATGGCAACCGCTATTAAGTTACATGCGGTTTTGTAACACCTCCATAACATAACAATACATAATAATTTGTTTGTATTTAACCTGAGCGGTTGTTGACTGAAGACAAAGCGTTCTATTACACCATTTAAAAGCTCATTTTGAAGTATAATTACTGATTGTGTTGTAAGTAATGCTTGTGGCTCTTTGCTAGTCTTTTCTTGCCCGATTTTATCAACGTATTTAATTTTAAGGAACTTCTACGCTAAGATATTATTATGAGACTTTTACCTTCATTTTGGTACCTAAATGACAGTTAACAGTACAGAATTACTTTATATGCTTCCTCACGCTAAGTAACTCTTAATTAAGAGATGGTTTAGCGGTAGGTGGCGAAAATGGTAATTAGTCTCTGGGTTCGGTCGGGCAAAGTATTACTGGGATTTTTGAAATATTTTCTAGCAGTAGGACGGAGTTTGGAATGGTGCCCGGATTATGGCAATAGATTCACCCCCTATTACATGGAACTCATAATATAAATAGTGAAAAGTGGGTGTTACATCATTCATTGTACAATGGCATTGAGCGCCGTAATGTGCACCTATCTGACTACACCTTCGGTTATAAAAGGCGTGATGTTATGTTATGTAAAACTCTTTTTTGAATAGTAGACCATACAACAATTTTTGTGGCTATCACAAAAATTCGTAATCACATTAATATTTTGACAAAGAAACCTACTGTGTTGGGTATACAGTAATATCAGCTTGACAAGCGTCTTATCAGGTCAAGATTAGAGATAGTTACCGCACGGGAGCCGATAACACCATGAAGTTATGTACGATTCTTATCACCATATGTAGATCTTGTCAAAACATCTTATTACGTACGTCACGTGTTATCTAACGAGATGTTTCAGAAGTTTTCTTGGCCTTTACTGAGTAGCTGACTAGTCTCACTGAGATCACACTGATATTGTAAATGTAAAAGTATCTTTGTTCGGATGTTTGTAGGTCAAGCACGCTGAAATTACTACACGGATTTTGATTAAAGTTGGTATACAGGCAGGGTATGGGTTGACTTAGGTGATAGAATGCTTTTTATCCCGATTAAATGCTCCTATGGGATAAAACAGGAATCATATTCCACGCAGACGAAGTCACGGGCAACAGCTTCTTGATCTACACCAATAGTATAAAGAGGAAAGATGTGATTTTTTGTTTGTTTGTTTGAATGGAATCTCCTCCGCAACTAGCGGACCGATTTCAAAAATTCTTTTGGAATCTTACATAATCGATGATGAACATAGGCTATATTTAATAGGAGAGAAAAAAGAAAAAAGTTTTTATTATACGCGGACAAAGTCGCGGGAAACAGCTAGTTGATTATAAATAAAAACAATCCGTAGTATATTCTATTTATTTTTTTATCAGGATTTTTATCCCTTTTTTTATCCCTTTAAAAAACAAGGGTAATATTGTGTAATTATAATATAAAAGTATAAAGAATAAGTTGCGAAATACAATCCTACGAACATTGTTTGCACGAACACTACATTTTTAGGACAACTTTCACTTTTGGTGATCTTATCCTTAAATTATTTTAATTATATTGACTACACAAGTACACACCTACCAAAGGTAATTGCTTTCATTATCACCTAGGTAATAGACATGATGAAATTCTATACAACATGAAGTAATATTCCCATACATATATCTAAAGGTAATGTACAATTTTGTTCACGAGCCTGTCGTATGTCAGTATCATAGATTTTAAATCTTGATACGAAATTAACAAAGGCATAAACCTTTAGTTAATTATCTATTGATTCAACTGATAATCAAATATATACTGTATCAGTATGAGTAACTATTTTTTATTTTTATCATGATACTACTAACTGTCTAACTACTTATATGTTAATGGGTATTTATTACTGTTTGATTGTAATAAAAACCAGAATAAGTTTGAATATCTCATATTGTTTGTATTACAGTTACCAGGTCGACTATCAAATATATATCCTGATATTTACATTTCACAAAATCAAGTACTACTTATAAGTAGTACTATGATGGAACAAATAATATATTATTTGTTCATTTTTGCAGTATAACGATTTCTTATTATTTTCCATGGCTTCAGAAAGATATATATAACGAAGCTTATACATGCCATGTGTATTTATGTATTGTAGACATGCAATATTAATTATATTTATTATTATAGTTCAGTCTTCCTGTTAATTTATTGCGACTAAACTGCAGAGATATTAAAAAATCAATAATATATTATATCTATGGACTAAAATTGACTGCACCAAGGGCAGGTAACTTGTGATATTTTTCTAACATATTTCCTTAATTTATTTTATAAGGAAATTCCAAGAAATGTTTGTTATACATGTACTTGCACAGTCAACATGAGTTGGCAGGTAGGCAAGTAGTTATATTACTGTAAAACGTTTAGATACTTTCAATTTTATCAGGGTTTTCATTTTGAAAGAATGCATAACATAACATCACGCCTTTTATCCCCGAAGGGGTGCAGAGGTGCACACAGAAGTAACACCCACTTTTCACTATTTGTTATGAGTCCCATGTAATAGGGGTAATATCAAATAGTAAATTGAAAGAACGCATTGTTAAACAATGCATAATGTGTCCGACCTTAGCATAGAATCTATAAATATTTGGGTTACCTTGACGTGTTATGATTGTATGCTTTTTAAATAAAATCTACAGTCCATGATCAGTTGTTTTGAATGAAAACCTTCAATTGAATGTTTAAGATTTAAGTCTTAAACTTAATATAGCAATTTGGGAACTTACACAGAATCATGTTTGCTAACTTCCTCAGCCCTGTATGTAGGTAGATCCGGCCTCCTTTCTCCCGCTTCACATATATTATCATCCTTATTCTTGTCTTTGCCCTTGCTTTCATTTTTAGATTTTTCTGTAAGGAATGATTAATTAGAATAAAAATTAAACCAATTTAGAAAGTAACTAGGTAAATTATTCATGTAGTGAGTTCTTTTATCTGGGTTTTATAATTAATGCCAAATAAAAACTTGATATGATATGAACTTTAAACTTAATGTAGACTTGGATACATCTCTGTTTACCCATGCAGAGGATTAAATTTAATTTATTAATGTATTTTAAATGTGATATTTATGCAGCATCTAACTTCAAATAAATCATTATTTATTTCTCCTCAATCCCTCACTGAGTGAATAGTAGTTTTAGATCATCAATAGAATAGGACAGTGTAAAACTAATTCATCATCATCATACCAGCCACAAGACAACCACTGCTGAAAATAGACCTTCCCCAATGATTTCCTCATTAACTGATAATTATAATAAAAGGTTTAATTTACCTGCTAATACAGTTCCAATTAGCACAGAGCTGAACAAAGCTGTGGCAACTGTCTTTCTGTATTGTCTATTTTGTTCTCTATAATTGTATTGCTCTTGGTTGATCTTCACTGCTGTGGCAGCCAAGTTTATGTATTTATTTTTCTGGTTGATTGTTCTAGAAGTAAATAATTTATTATATATTTTTAATGACTATTATGAATGGGAAACTAAATATTATTAGTAGGATCGCGATCTTATTAAGCTCAATGTGTGTACCGTGTAGCTTTAAGCAGCATTCACCGTAAGACGTAAGGAATTATTTATTTATAAGCAATGACACAGATTATTTATGATTAAAAACAATAAATTAAATTAAGACAATAAGTATTCGTACACACCATCGAATGGTGCACAATTTACACTGACCTACCTTAGCAATATATTTTTAAGCGACATTTTTCCGATTCTTTTAAAAACACTGAACTCTTATTGTATTTATTACATGATAAACTGGTAAAAGTTAAAACAACACCGTGCGACCTTGGGCAGTTACTGGCTGGAAGCGACCTTTTATCATTTATATTTATCGCTTTTTAAACACGAACTCGTGTGCAATATTACGAAGTCCAATTATACCTAATGAAAACGTAATTCGTGAAGCGTAACTCGACAACATTCGATAAGTTCGCTGTGTGACTGCGTCAATTTCCCCGCATTGACAACATTGACAACTCCACAATAACTGTCATAAATGACAGCAACGCAATCAGCTGTCCAAACAGCTGATTATTAGTGCAAAACCAAAACGTAACAAAATAATTTATTTACGCTAAAAATATTAACTCGGATTTAATATTATATTTCGGACAAAGGCATGTATTTCAATAAAAAACTTAAATAACAACTATTACATAAATAAAATTAAAACTAAATATTACTAAATTAAATATATACAACTTATGATTAAAATTAATTATAGGAAAAATAAACTATTTATAAGGCATCGAAAAATTTACGCTTAGTTATTAATTAAAAAACTGACTTATGTGACTCTAATTATATGTATTTAAACGGGTTTTAAATACTTACCTATTATTTCATTTCCATAGCATAAAACAATAACATCTAGGAAATAATTTTAATTTTATTAATAGGTATTCCTTTAGATCAGGTCGTAAGTCATGTATAACGGCCGCAGTTTATTTGTAAGACAAAGACAGTAATGATCAAAGATATAGGTACAAGTGGTTAGTTAATGGCTAATGAATTTGTTAAAACAATGGTTGCTGTATTGTATTATTTAAATTATTGACACTATTGTTTCATGAACCTGTTTCGATTGAATAAAAATAAATTAACTTTTAATTTCTAAAATGCTCCTTCATTAAATCTACTAGTGGGTAAGTATTTGGGTAAATATTATACATTAAATATATGGTATGTGGTATAAAGTACCATGTACAGTTAATAAATGTATCTAAGCAGGCATTTTGGTCTACCTAGGACCCCTTAAAAGAGACTTAACGCATCATTCTAGACTAGACTTACCTACAATGGAATCAAACGTAAAGTCCTACCTTTCGGTAGGTGACACTCCCTCCCGCCTCACCCAAACGGGAGCAGTCATTCGATGATTTTACCCCCTTAAAAAAAAAACCTATAGGTAGGTACATAATCGAAACGCAAATCTAATTCTAATATCCGAAATTTCCAACTGAGAATCGGACTTAAGACCCAAAATTCGATTGTAACATCTTCGACCCCCAAATCACACTAAATAATTATTTTAAGTACTTACCTATCTACCTATTGAGGTAGTTTTAAGCCTAAAGTCCTTACCTATTATTAAGTTTAAATAGGTAAGGAATATGTAAAAAGTGCTACGTTTGTCCGTCGTTAACCTCTTTCTGATGTTCTAATGAGATTTTAAAGACTTTATGCATTAGTTATACTACATTTTAGTTTTGCACGTAAAGTAGAGCCGCTTTTTTATGTTTTTTCTTCTTCTAAAATATTCATAGGTAGGTGCTGTAATGAAAATGTTCTTTATGTAAACTTAGCTTATTACCTATAGGTCCTTTTAATTTCTATATATAAGTTTGAAATCGCCAATCCGCCTTGAGGAAGCGTGATGATTAGTGATCAAACCTTCTTTCGCCGTTTGAAAGAGGTCGTTGTTCAGTTGTAAGCATTTTATAGGGTGTTGATATGAAAATTAATTAATCTTCAATTTTTGTTTATGTACTTGTAAAGTCGAAAGTGGTTATTGAAGAGTTTTATTAGTTTTCTAATCGTTTATTAAGTGGTTAGATACTCTTAGCAATGCTTGTTTTTGGTTATTGTTAGTTTATTCAAATTCTAAAACTAATATTAAATCTAAAGTTTTCGTGTTGTTTATCTAAGATTTATCTTTTAGATTTTCTACATTTACCTACTTTTAAGATTTGAGTTAGAAAACAGGTTTAAAGATTAAGAAGTGAAATAATATGCTTAGGTACGTCAGTACTTATTTTTTTTTATTTATTTATTTATATCAGGCACCGAAGGCCCATATTAAAATACAATAATACTATAATATCTACTACAATTTCAACTTAAAATACTATAAATACATTTCATTACTTATCTAAGCAAGTTCATTTTATAGTGTCGTAGACAATTATGAGTCAGTGTAATGACACATTTTTTAACCCCAGAAGGGCTAGGTAGAGGTGCACTACTATTTAAATGTAACAGCCTCTGTTCACCACTGAAGTAGACAGGTATGCTGTAAGTTGTAAGTCCCGTTCCCATTGACATAGAGTGGAAATAAAACCTTAAGAAACTGCTAAATACCCAAGCGGTCACCGGTGACCGGTCTCCACTAACTCCATTATAGACGTTATTTCCAATGTTTAGAGACTACTTTTGTATGAACTAATTTTCGGTACGATATATTAACGTATGAGCCTTTACTCAGTTGCATTCCACGCACGGGTCAGATCACACACACGAGTGATTACTCGTTAAGTACATACCTACTTACATATAAACTGCTTCAACAAGTATCTACGATATTTTTTAAGACTTCGATTGCACTCAACGGTATACAGGCTAGGAGGCTAGAAGGCAGTTTGTCAATAAAATCCTTTCATTATTACATTCCGTCGCGCACAGCAGTGTTTTATTGCGCTCCTTACGGCTAATAGCCTCTCGAACTACAAGTGGAATAAGTTTACCTATGTCTCTCCAGTCGGGACTCGGTAACAACACTAGAAAACAATATTGCCATGTTGTTGTACCCTGGTAGCAATGTTTTGGTAACGTTTTCTGTGTAGTATTTTTTCTACATAGGTGGGTACTTAGAATGTAGAGGTCCTTGTGTTGATCAAGGTCGACTACCGAGGAACCGCTTACAGATTCCATTTCTGGGACGGGCAAAATGTTATTGTTTTTTATTTGAGAATCACAATAATAAAACGGAGGTTGGAAGTACTTGCGATGTTCGCCTTTTGTTGATTGTATTCGATATACCTACCTAACTGCCAAAAAGTGGATGAAAAAATAAATTGGTAATATTAATGTACATCTCTACTTACCCCCTCGGATAATACGAGGTTTATATTGTGCTAGAAAGTAAAAAACACAAAAATAAGGTGCACGCTTTAGATGAATCTGTGGGTGTACCTACACAGGCACCTACTGTTATTTACTAGCAAAGTGAGCGGGTCCCATGAATTTCGTCAAAAAATATTTCATACGGCAAATTTTTATTTTTACGACCCCTAATTCTTATTTTATGGCCGACATTGCGGCCGTAATGGTTTCACCTTCTGATTTTTTTTCTCAACAAAATAATCGTTCAGTTTTATGTCACGCAGCTATCGTGTTGAATAGAAAACTATTACTGAGTTTTTAATAAAAACACTTTTACGATGTTTTATGTGTCTCGAATATTGATAACTGATAGAGCTGAGAAAGTCAAACTACGTACCTACAATTATTTTATAACCAACTGTTACCTACTCACGACTTTGGCTAAGTACATGGTGGTAAGAAAAGAACGGGATATGACGCTCCACCCTTTGTAAAAAAATAATCTCCTTCTTTCAAACTATTGAGATGATTGGAAATTGACACATGATTGCTGCCATCAGAACAGGTCCTCTCAAACTGTTGTGGATCTTTCCTCAAAAGACCACTACAGAATTAACTTGCACGGTTCTCGCACATTATTTTATATCTGTCTGGACTTTAACAAAAATATAATTTATCATTGTCGTTTGCCCAGGAAAATGCCAAATAATCATAATAAGTACTTACCTTCATGTTTAAGTACCTATATAAAAACATGGCACTACTATTCCGATTTTCCTTTTAATGTTATCACGTATTTAGGTAGGTATGCTTGTACATTGGTAGTCATACAGAAAGTCGCCATGTCCCTAGAAAACTTGGAAAACGCTCTGAGCATGATAAGTTATGATCAAAATGTTGGAAAGAAACTTTCTTTTCGGATATAAACTTTGATTTAGGTTCACTTGTGAGCTCCGAAACTATTTTTTTACTTTGAAGACTATATCTACATAGTATAAATGTTTAATTGTAATAAATATGTTTGGTCACTATTGCAATGAAAATAATTTACGAAAAAACAGTTCCACAACTAAGTGTAAAGTTTATGCCGTAGAATGCGATGCATTTGGTATTTTATTTAAGACTTTTATTAATTCTCTATTGTTATGTTATTCAGTAAATATTTTAATTATCTTCTTAAGTTGAAAATAGTACTATAACGAGCTCTTATTTATTAAGATTCACTTGAGGTGGTCGCAGTGATAGCGAGCACCTAGTAAAACGTTCAAATTACGTAGACATGTTCAGAGTTTTCTATTGCTAATTTGGAAGGAATTAAAAACTCAGATGTATGTACATGTAAGGCCCCACCTGGAATACTGTTCTCATCTTTGGGCGAGGGCACCCCAGTACCAGTTTCTTTCTCTGGACCGCATTCAGAGGCGTGCCGTTTGGATTGTTGGATGTTTCAAACCGGCTGGACACTTTGGCAATACGTAGATATGTAGCTTCATTGTGCATTTTCTGTCGCTTATACCACGCGGAGTGCTCTGAGGAATTATTTGACTTGATACCTGCCGCATCTTTTCGCCATCGACCCTCACGACAGCCTATGTACTCCCATCATATAGATGGTTGGCAGACCAAAACTGTGCGCTTCTGACGTAGCTTCCTGCCTCGCACAGCAAAACTGTGGAATGATCTGTCGTCGGCGGTATTTCCGAACCGATACGACACCTTCAAGAAAAGAGCGTATTCCTTCTTAGAAGGCCGTCTACGCACCTGTGACTCATCTGGTGTTGCGGGTGTCCATGGGTGGCGCTGTTCGCTTACCATCAGGTGATCCGTCTGCTTGTTTGCCTTCTGTTCTATAAAAAAACTGTGTTTACTATTCCCTAAACAGATACCTTAACCTACAACTACAAAGAAAATAAAAATACATCATTTGACTGCTACTCATAATTTAATTCATCCTAAACACTTTAAGAGTTACAAAACGATGGTCTACTTCTACAGTCTATTCATTTAGAGAGATTCCACAAAATAATTTAATTCGATACAAACATTACTTAGCTAGATAGAAACTAGATTATCAACTTTTAAAAAGTCCTCAGTTCTTTAAACACGCCTATCTATCCACTGGACAC